ATCGACTTATTTATTGCTGTTTTTTTTTTTCGATTTCTCGTGTATAACTCTTACGAATGAAGGAAAACGTAAGCGAATCACTCGCTTTCTCTCTCTCCCTCTCTCCCTCTCTCCCCCTCTCTCTCTCTCTCTCTCTCTCTCTCTCTCTCTCTCTCTCACTTTCACTGTTATAAACATTTAATAAAAAAAATATTTTATTAATTAATTTATCACACATCTAATGTTACACATTACACATTTTAACCGCTTCGTATAAGTAATTTATATCATTCAGCTATAATAATAAAGAAATAAAATCAACCATTGTATTAAGAATCGCACTGTAGAGTAATAGTAATCACATTAAGTAAATATATTAAAAAGTATATATTAATGTTTCTAGAAATATAACTTTCGTCTTATGAAACTTTTAAAAAATAGTTCAATAGTTAAAATGACATGTTACGCGATAGTACAATTAGCCTGCACCTTGATGGGTCGTATTTGTAGTTCTGCCAGATGAGTTCTATAACAATATATTTAAATATAACAATACATAATTCTCTCATTTCTTTGATTAATTAATGTTTTATGTAATTATCTAATAATTCTATAATTGATTGTATCTCATCAATCATATTTTACTTACTTAGTTATTTATTCTACACAGAGAGAACGATTTAGTTGAATCTAACAAATGCTTATTTGGAATAGTCCAAATAAGCATTTGCTAAATTCAACTAAATCTTTCTCTCTGTGTATAAGAGCGTATTATCCTATTTTATAATATGTTATATCTAAAAATGTATACATATATATGTGTGGAAATATGAATTTATCTTACAATATAACCTAATATATATAACCTTTACTCAAAGGTTATATATATTGTTATATATCTCTGTTACAACGGTTTTCGCAAAAATCAATTTTCAAAACATTAAACATCCTATTTCCAAGGTCGAACTTAAATTATTCCAATACTGCGAGTTTCATTTATAGATCACGATAACAAAGATTTCGAATTGAAAAAATAATGAAAACTAATTTCACCACCAGAAACGATAACCCATTTAATAAAATCTCCATAAAATATCAAGGATTCCATCGCTGTAATCAATGAACGCTATATTATAACTGTCGCCCATTGCATAAAAGAATTCAAAGAAAAACCTTTAAACAATATAACGGTTGTTAATGAAACTACTTATTTCGATAAAGGTGGAATTATCCATAATGATCGATGTACTATACTACCTATACTATGAGGAGTTCGATAAATTTATTGGGTGAGTGCAAAAGTTCGTGCGGAGTTTGTGAGTAAAAGTCACACAGTGATTAGGCAAACAAAAATCTTTATTCAATCAATGATATATTCTCCATCGTTTTCTATAATCTTTTCCCAACGTTCTGGCAGCATACAGATGCCTCGATCATAAAAACTGCGCGGTTTAGATTCGAAGAATGAAGAGACGCCGTTTTTTAAGGCCTCCAAAGAGTCAAAGTTTTTTCCATTTAAATAATTTTGCAATGACCGGAACAAGTGATAGTCAGATGATGCGATATCAGGAGAATACGGTGGATGCGTTAAGACATCTCATTTCAGGCTCTTCAGTTTGCGCAGCGTCTTTTTCGAAACGTGTGGTCTGGCGTTGTCGTGATGAAAGACGATTCCCTTGCGATTTGACAAAATCGGACGTTTCTCTTTTATTTCTCGATTCAGATTGGTTAATTGGCGACAGTACTTGTCCGAATCAATCGTTTCGCCAGCGGGGAGAAGCTCGAAATAGATTATGCCCTTGCAATCCCACCAAACAGAGAGCATCACCTTCATCGGGTGCAAACTGGCCTTTGGCATTGCGTCACCATGCTCACCTGATTGTTTCCATGTCCGTTTGCGCTGAACATTGTTGTAGAGGACCCATTTCTCATCGCCCGTCATTAGTCGATCCAAAAACGACTCGTTATTGAGCCGCCCGAGTAAAGAAACTGCAGAAATTCGCTTGATTTTGTTCTTCTCGGTCAGCAAATGGGACACCCATATATCGAGCTTCAAATCGAATCCCATCTTTTTTAAACGCCGAAAAGCGGTTGATCGGTCAACGTTTAGTGCTGTAGCAACTTCTTCTGTTGAAATTCGCGGATTATTGAGCACTAAAGTACGCAAAACATTGTCATCAATGTCAGAAGGTCGACCAGAGTGTGGCTTGTCTTCAAGGTTAAATTCTCCGCGCCGAAATTTAGCAAACCATTTTTCCACAGTTCGTTTAGCTGGTGCTTCATCCTGATAAACATCCTGAATGTTTTTTACGGCTGCGGCAACGTTTATTCCCTTCCGAAACTCGTAAAACATAACATGCCGTAAATGCACCTTATCGATACTCATTTTTAAAGTGATATTTCTCGAAGCAGTTTGTATGAAAACAAATGATTTTTTTTTTAATAACAGCTGAAGACGTCACCTTTCCAACGTTATATAATATGTAGATGGAAGTATTAATGACAACACTTTACGACGCTTATAACTCCATCTATTGAAACTCCGCACGAACTTTTGCACTCATCCAATAATAGCGGATTACACATCGGTTTAATTCGGGTAAACTTTGACTATAATAATTTATTTCTTTAGTCGTTCGTACAATCTTGACATAGACAGTATAACACAGCATGAATAATACGAAATGCTAAATTTAACATGTAAGTTCAACGACGTCTAAGTAAATAAATTTGCGATCTACTTTTCTTTAATGTGTAAGTATGCTGGAAAATAATATTTTAATGCATCTTCTTAATTTATAAAAATTTCTACTTTTATATATATATATATACTTCATTCTTTTAATCTTATGAATTACAAAATTTATCTACCTACATGTGTTGTCACGAATTTTTTATTAGATTTATGATTGTTTTCAAAATCTGATATTCTCGATTTGAATATTTTTTTAGCTGAGAAGGAATTTAGCTGAGAATCGAATTCAACGATATTCAGAAAATTATATCGCTACCGCATTGTGGTTGCGTTCGGACTTGCTATCCATTGTGTGAAAAAATCGTAAACGTAAGCTGGGGTATGCTTTCCAACACAGGTCCCGTGATGAGCGTATTGCAAAAGTCAGAATCTTTTGCTATGAACAATAAATTATGTGATACGTATCATAAACGCAAGATCACTATTTTTGAATTCTGCCTCATTATGGAATCCACATTAAGACTATGTTATGTACATAATTATATGCACAAGCTTTGCTGTATATCACATTCCTATTTACTCCACAAACATATATTATATTGCTCAGCTCCTTTAAAAAATTCGAAATTTTAAATCACGATTATAATCTTCAATCTTACACGGGGTAAAATGGGTAGTATAGTACTATGCAGGGGTAACTTTGTAAGATTAGGTTCTATAGGAGTTTGTGACCCGAAATATTCAGATATAATAACCGACGTCTATATATATATAACCTGGATTCAAGAAATTTTGCAAGAAACAAAGATATTTAGAATTATATGCTATGACAATATAGAAAAATATCCTCACTAAATAAAGCTTCGTTCATACACATTAATGTACGTTTTTTTTTAATTACTTTATATTTTATATTGTTGTATCCAAGCCACAAGGTTTGTGGCTCCGTTGTCCGTGAGCCTTAGGCATCCGATGCTGATTTTGACATCTGAGCGAGAATTGTCCTGACGACGGAAAATCGATAAGAAGTAAACAACAAGAACAGCTGATAGAGAGTCTCTGACCAGCTAGCTGTCTTGATTGACAGACGCGAATATTGAGAATTATAAAATAGAGAGTTATTCCTGTTTTAAGTTTTATTGAGCTACGCTATAAAAAGTAAAGCTTGTTGTTCTTACGCGAGTGTTCTTCATTTACCTGAGTGTAAGCGCGAGTGTGAGAGTGAGCGCAACAATATATATACATATGTATATACACACACATATATATATGTATGTACATATGTATGTATGTGTATGTATATATATATATATATATGTATGTATATATATATATACAGGGTGTCCGGGATCATTTGGAAACGAAAAATTGTGAAAATTAATCAGATCAAACTGAGAAGAAGAGTCAAATGCTATTTTGCAACAATCACGATAGTTATTAAGTTATTGATGATTGAAAATGACCACATCTAAAGACTCCTTTAATTGATAACTTGAATGTTTGCGTATTTGTATGCAAAATGGTAAAGGACTTTTTTCTTCAGAATGATCTAATCTACAATTATATAACGGATGCTATTAGAATGCAAGTTCTTCAAGTTCGTAAACACATACGTATCCAGATCTCAATTAAATCTGTCTGCTACTTGTAGTATAAAAATCAAAATGGGAACATATCACAATTAAATGCTAACTAAATGTTAATTTAGGACTGTATTAGGTGCTAATTTAGAACTCTCCAATTGTAGCAATCGAATCGTTTAGCAGAAACTCCAGTTTGAAAATAAACATCGTAACTTGCATCGAGTTAATATTCCTGTTGCTTTAATAAAAAAAACGCAGAATCTAAAAGTAATTAAAAATTTATCAGAAAAAACACAGTTTTACACAATTACTACAAATTGAAAAACGTAGATCTTAATTATTTATTAATCAAAATAGATATATCCAAATTAATTCTTGTTTATGTTATAAAATATATAAAGAATGACAAGTTTCAAAAAAATGTCGCGGGAGACCGGAGAAACTCAAGACCGGATAATTCAGACACATGTAAACATTCAAGATGCTAATTGCATAATCGAGAACAATTATTCATATTTATTCCACATGTCAATAAAGTCAAGACTGCAAAGTCTTGTATTGATCAGGTACTGGTCGATTATACAAACAATTCGTCAATTTGGAAATTGCCATTTACAAGCAGTAAATCTATCCTACCGTAACAGTATCTAACCTTTATCAGAATACAGAACAAAACAGCACATACAAAATAATCATAACTGTCTATAAATTTGCGAGTCTTATAATAAAACGGATCATAAAGACACGTGTGATCAAGTGATGATATGGAGAAGCTCGTAATAGAACGTGCAATAGGTATTTTCGTGATTCCCAAGGTTCCGACTGTTTTAGTCTGATTTCGACCTAAATACAAAAGGCGAATATACGGTAATCACAGCTCGCGCAAAATCATAATTAATCGCCGTTTGACTATATTCAGCTGTATTATCATACGTAACGCAAGTATCAAGTTTATTAGTCCGTTTACTGTTTTTAATTCAACACCGGCACGACCAACGAATTTCGCGATTCGGAAGTTTATTAAAGTAGATAGTTGACCTTTTCAAAATCGATTTATTTACTGCTGAGATGTTTCGTTTTTTCTTATGATAGTCGTTCGAATGAAAGAAAACTTATGCAAATCACTAGCTGTCACTTTCTTTCTCTCTCTCTCTCTCTCTCTCTCTCTCTCTCTCTCTCTCTCTCTCTCTCTCTCTCTCTCTCTCTCTCTCTCTCTCTCATTATTATAAACATTTAATAAAAAAGATATTTTACTAATTAACTTGTTACACATGTTTATGTTAGGAAATCTCATTTTTCTTAGTATTGCGATATCATCGATAGAACATTGCTATTGTTGCTTCGTAATCTTAATTGCCTCGTGTAAGTAGTTTATATCATTCAGATACAACAATATAGCATAGTATACAAATATATATTAAGATTTTTTTGAAATACAATTTTTTGTCTTATGAAACTTTTGAAAAATAGTCTAATAGTTAAAAATGGCAAGTTACGTGATGATACAATTAGCCTGCACCTTGGTGGTCGCATTTGCAGTTCTGCCGGGTAAGTTTTATAACAATATAATTAAATGTAACAATATACGATAACATAATTCTCTTATTCTTTTGATTAATTAATGTTTTACATAATTATCTAATAATTCTATAATTAACTATATCTTATCAATATTATCTAACTTATTTAATTATTGATTTTTTAAGGGCATATTATTCTATTTTATAATATGTTACATTTAAGAAAGTATACATATATGTATTTGGAAATACGAATTTATCTTACAATATACCTTTTATTCAAGGTTGTATTGTTGTATATCTCTGTTACCACTATTTTCGCAAAAATCAATTTTCGAAACATTAAACATCCCGTTTCAAAGATCAAACTTAAGTCATTCCAATACTGTGATTTTCACTTATAGATTGCGATACCGAAGATTCGGAAAGAATAATACAAGCTAATTTCTCCACCATAAATGATTACCCATTTATGGTCTCCATAAGATATGAAGGATTTCATCGCTGTAGTGGTGCTATAATCCATGAACGCTACATCATAACTGTCGCCCATTGCATAAAAGCATTTCAAGGAAAACTCTTCGACAATATAACAGTTGTTAGTGGAACTACTTATCTCGATAAAGGTGGAATTATTCATAATGTCGATGCAATATATTATCACAAGGAATTCAATAATTTTAATAGCGGGTTCAACATCGGTTTAATTCGGGTAAACTTTTACCATAATAATTTGTCTCTTTATTCTTTCGTACAATCTTGGCATAAGCAGTATAACACAGTATAAATAATGCAAAATACTAGATTTGATATGTAACTTCAACGATATCTAAGTAGATAAATTTGCGATCTATTGGGTGAGTGCAAAAGTTCGTGCGGAGTTTGTGAGTAAAAGTCACACAGTGATTAGGCAAACAAAAATCTTTATTCAATCAATGATATATTCTCCATCGTTTTCTATAATCTTTTCCCAACGTTCTGGCAGCATACGGATGCCTCGATCATAAAAACTGCGCGGTTTAGATTCGAAGAACGAAGAGACGCCGTTTTTTAAGGCCTCCAAAGAGTCAAAGTTTTTCCCATTTAAATAATTTTGCAATGATCGGAACAAGTGATAGTCAGATGGTGCGATATCAGGAGAATACGGTGGATGCGTTAAGACATCCCATTTCAGGCTCTTCAGTTTGCGCAGCGTCTTTTTCGAAACGTGTGGTCTGGCGTTGTCGTGATGAAAGACGACTCCCTTGCGATTTGACAAAATCGGACGTTTCTCTTTTATTTCTCGATTCAGATTGGTTAATTGGCGACAGTACTTGTCCGAATCAATCGTTTCGCCAGCGGGGAGAAGCTCGAAATAGATTATGCCCTTGCAATCCCACCAAACAGAGAGCATTACCTTCATCGGGTGCAAACTGGCCTTTGGCATTGCGTCACCATGCTCACCTGATTGTTTCCATGTCCGTTTGCGCTGAACATTGTTTTTTACGGCTGCGGCAACGTTTATTCCCTTCCGAAACTCGTAAAGCATAACATGCCGTAAATGCACCTTATCGATACTCATTTTTAAAGTGATATTTCTCGAAGCAGTTTGTATGAAAACAAATGATTTTTTTTTTAATAATAGCTGAAGACGTCACCTTTCCAACGTTATATAATATGTAGATGGAAGTATTAATGACAACACTTTACGACGCTTATAACTCCATCTATTGAAACTCCGCACGAACTTTTGCACTCACCCAATACTTTTCTTTAATGTATAAGTATGCTGGAAGAAAATTATTTTATTTATAAAATGTAACTTTTTAATTTATTAAAATTCCAACTTTTAAAAAGGAATTTTAATTTAATTTTTAATTAATAACCCTACATGTACAATTAAAAACATAATTATAGATGTAACGTAAAAAAATATAGCTATATATCTCTATAAGAATGGAAGTCGGGAAGTTTATAAGTGAGCCCAGATACACACATACATACGCACACATACAGATACATGTGTACATTCACACTTATTGTGTGACAGATATCGTATATACTATGTATGTATGCGGGCGTATGTAGGTGTAAGAATTTATAATTTAAAAATGTAGTATTTATAAATTTATATTTATATTTGCTTTCTACCTTTATTGATCACTTTTTTATATTTATGATGAATAAAGAACAAATATTATATTTATTTATTTAGTGAATAAAATATATATGTATAAAGCGTCAGACACCTTATACATATACACACACATATACATATATATATATATGTGTGTGTGTATATGTATATATGTATATAAACACACACACATATACTTCATTATATATATACTTCATTCTTTTAATCTTATAAATTATAAAATTAACCTACTTACATATGTTGTCATGAATTTTTTATTAGATTTATGATTGTTTTCAAAATCTGATATTCTCGACTTGAAACTTTTCTAGGTGAGAAGGAATATCGAATTTAATGATGTTCAAGACATGATACCACTACTGGACAGTGGTTGCGTTCAGAATTGCTATCCGTTGTCTGAAAAGATCGTAAACGTAGGCTGGAGCAAACATTCCAACAGTGGTCCCGTAATGAGTGTATTGCAAATATCAGAATCTATTGCAATGGACAATAAATTATATGAGACGTATTTTAACCGCAATATCACTGCTGAATTCTGCCTCTTTATGGAACCTAAATTAGGAATATGTTACGTACGTAATTATATGCACAATGCTTTGCTCCACATATATGACATTGCTATTTACTCCACGAACATATTATATTATATTGTACAGCTTTTTTACAAAATCCAGTATTTTAAATCACGATATAATCTTCAATTTTATATAGGGTGACATGAGTAGCATAGTACTATGCAATGGTAATTTTGTAGGATTAGGTTCTATAGGAACTTGTAACCCTGAATATCCAGATATAATAACTGATGTCTGTATGCACATAACCTGGATTCGAGAAATTTTGTACGAAAACAATGATATTTAGAATTATGCTATGACCATATAGAAAAATATTCTCACTAAATAAAGTATCGTTCATACACATTGATGTATGTTATATTTTTTTTAGTTACATTGCATTTTATACATATATCGGGTGTTTCAGACCACCTGAGTCACCCGATTTTTTCGTTAACGCGACATTTTAGAGAAAAATATTTCAGATAAAAGTTGTAGGGCTTCAAAGGATTTATTTACTGACGCTATGAATATGACCTTGGGATAACCTTGAAAAGTCCAGTCAAGATCAACATAAAATTCTTAAATGGGTACCCTAATTTTTTATTACATCATCTTTTTCTAGCAATTAATTTGAACAACTTTTGTCTAATTTGAACTAATTTTTTTATTTGCCTAATATTTTTTTGAAATATTTAAGGAAAACTTGATAACTTTTTCAACGTTTAATTTACGATATCTCGCTAACTATTCGTCGAAAGAAAAAATAATATTAGACTTTTTTACTTTATTTACTATCAAGAATATATCACTATGATAGGGCCCTAATTTTTTTGTTAACTTATCGACCTTTGGAAATTTCAAATTTATTAAATTAACAAAAGTTAGGGCACTAGATAGATAGATAGATATTTTATCGACTCCTCTTGGGGTTACAATTCTTTGACCTACCATTTACATACTACTCTACTTCTTCGCCTCTTACACTACGCACGAGAGAGAGAGAGCGCTCCTCATTCACACCACACTCCTTCACTTTTCCATTCTCTCCCTCTCTCTCTCACTCTCCATTCCTTTCCTCTCACACCATGACCTCCGTTTCCGCCGCTCCTTTTATTAATAGAAGTAAGAAGGGCACTATTATAGTAATATATTTTTGATAGTAAATAAAGTAAAAAAGTCTAATACTATTTTTTCTTTCGATGGATAGTTAGCGAGATATCGTAAATTAAATGTTGAAAAAGTTATCAAGTTTTCCTTAAATATTTCAAAAATATTAGGCAAATAAAAAATGTTTCAGACAAAAGTTGTTAAAATTAATTGGCAGAAAAAGAAGATATAATAAAAAATTGGGCTTTCTATTTAAAAAAATTAAGTTGACCTTCAACTGACCTTGAAAAGGCCTTCCAAATAAAAAACTGATAATGCCATTCTCTTCCCCCTTCGAGATCATGGAAAATGTGTTTTAGCTTTTTTTAATATTTATCATAGTTTTCGAGATTTTTTAATGCGAAAGTTAAAATGGGACACCTTGTATATATAAATGGGGTGTCCGGGATCATTTGGAGACGAAAAATTGTGAAAATTAATCAGATCAAACTGAGAAGAAGAGTCAAATACCATTTTGCAACAATTACGATAGTTGTTAAGTTATTAATGATTGAAAATTACCACATCTAAAGACTCCTTTAATTGATAACTTGAAAGTTTGCGTATTTGCTTGCAAAATGGTAAAGGACTTTTTTCTTCAGAATGATCTAATCTACAATTATATGACGGATGCTTTAGAATGCAAGTTCTTCAAGTTCGCAAACACATACGTACCCAGATCTCAATCAAACTGCTACTTGTAGTATAAAAATCAAAATGGGGAATATATCACAATTAAGTGCTAACTAGATGCTAATTTAGGACTATACCAGGTGCTAATTTAGAACCCCCTAATTTTAGCATTCGAGTCGTTTAGCAGAAATTCAAGTTTGAAAATAGACATGGTAACTTGCATCGAGTTAATACTCCTGTTGCTTGAAAAAGAAACAGAGTCTAAAAGTAACTAAAAATGTACAAAAACACATGTTTACACAATTACTACGAATTGAAAGAAGTAGATCTTACTTATTTATTAACCAAAGTAAATATACCGAAAAATAATTTTCGTTTATGTTATAATATATATATATATATATACAAAAGACAAGTTTAAAAAAAATTAATATCGCAAGAGACCGGAAAAATTCAGAACCAGAATACTTCAGACACATGTAAACTTTCAAGAAGCTAATTAACACGGTGGTAAATATCGTGATAAATATCGCATAATTGAGGACAATTTTTCATATTTACGGGTCGATAAAATCAAGACTATATAATCTTGTATTGGTCAGGAACTGCTCGATTATACAAATAACTCGTCAATTTGGAAATTGTCATTTACAAACAGCAATATCTAACCTTCATCAGAACAACACATCACATACAAAACAATTATAATAGACTATAAATTTGAGAATCTTATGATCAAACGGATCATAAAAACACGTGTGATTAAGCGATGATGATTAAGTGCAGAAAAGCTCGTAATAGAATTTGCGATAGAGACTTTCAGGAATTCCCAAGGTTCCGATAGTTTTAATCTGATTTCAACTTGAATACAAAAGGTGAATATATGGTAATCACAGCTCGCACAAAACTATGGTTCAGAGCATAATTAATTGCCATTTGGGTAGTCTCAGCTGTGTTATCATACGTAACACAGATATCAAGACTTGCTAGTCCGCTTACTGTTTTTAATTCAACACCGGCACGACCAACGAACTTCGCGGCGATCCGAAAATTTGTTAAAACAGCTTGAACTTTTCAAAATCGACCTATTTATTGCTAAATATTTCATTTTATCTTGTATAAGTCTTGCGAATGAAGGAAGACTTAAGCGAATTGTTAGCTTGTTCTCCCTCTCTCTCGCTTTTATGAACATTAAAAAAAAATATTTTATTAATTAACTTGTTACACATGTTTATATGTTAGGAATTCTCATTTTCTCAGTGTTGTAACATCATTGATAAAACATAGCTATTGTGACTTTGTAATCTTAATCGTCTCATGTAACTATTACATAGATGTCTAATTTAATACATCGTAGGACAGACTTCAACATAGATGCCGAATGGCACTTCTTCGGAACAGCGCACAGAAAAGGTGCCTGCGAAGGTGTTGGCGCAATTGTGAAGAGAGAAGCTACATGAGCAAGCTTACAATCTGCACCAAGTGAAGCAATTCTTGATGCGAAAACTCTCTTTTCATGGACTAAGAAAAGATTTTTCGGCATGATTTTCTTCTTTTATAGTAAAGAAGATCATGAGAATACACGTCAGTTCCTTGCTAAGAGATTTCGCAACGCTCCACCTGTTACGAGAATACAAACAGCTGACGCATTTATACCTCAATCTGATGATACATTGCAAGTAATGCGATATTCGGGTGCTCAAAAACCTATGGCTACAGTGGCATATGAGATCGGAGAAATATCTCAATCGCCGAAAGCGGAACGTTGCTTGAGAAGCAGAAAATTGTAAGAGTGCACGAAACTGGGCACAATTAACCCGTAACTGCTGTGAAACCATTTTAAGTACGCGCACACTGTTCAACGGTCAAATTGACCGGTAGGAAACGGAATTGATGAATATCTTGACAAATAACACGACCACACAACTGCGCGTATATCAGTCGACTGACATTCAGAATGTAAGAAAATACACTGACGGATGAATACGCAACTAGAAAATTAACCGCGTTATTTAAATTTCAAATAGTGCAATGGTCAAATTGACCGGAGAACAGCAATTACGGGTTAATTGCTTTATCTTGCCTTAACTGGTCGGACAACGTTTGGTCTTGCCTTAACCGGCTGGACAGCATCACAGTCTTACTTTCAGATAGTTTTTAAGAATTTTTGAGGTCCTTTTTGCGGTTTGGAAACAACTGTGACGTTCCAGGGTGATCGTAGTATATAATTTAGACTCGATTAACCAAATACTAGTATTAGAACCTATTTTGAATGGCTCTCCAACACAGTATCGAGATACCCGCATTTGATTGTTTTTAGAAGTTTTTGAACCGTTTTTGGGGATTAGGTAAGAATTGCGACGTTTAAGGGCCATTCTGGTCTTAGATTCGGATTTAGCGGATCAAAATATATGAGCTATTATCGTATTTTCTGTTGAAAATTCGGAGTTTCTCATGATTTAATTGAAACTATATTATGGTTCTTGTACGTCTTTCAGTATAGTTAGTGCCACCTGGAAGTCACCACTTTGAATTTCCGGAAAGGCCATGTTGCTTCTGAAAGTATTCGAGTAGACAAACAATTCAAACCCTCACACGTCCCAATCCGATGCGTCAATTTTTGAGGGCGCCGGTGATCCGATTGACGCGGAACGTCCCATATATATACGTATATACAGGGTGGTCCATTTTAATTGACAATCAGAAATATTTCATCAGGTAAGCCAGAGCGCGAAAAATGTTTCAAAAAGAAATGTTTGGGTTCAGAGGGGGACATCTAACGGTAACCTTGGCTTGACCTTGGATGTCGTTTGAAGGTCACATAAAAGTCAACTTCAAAATCCTAAATGGAACTCCCATTTTTTATTGCATATTATCGTGGCCTTTGTCGAGACGTTTTCAAAACACTATCTACTTTTGTCTTTTGCGTAAACCATTCCCAAGATATGAAGCTTTAAAGTTGTCATACCGCCGGCATTCGCATTACCCGATATACATCGCGGAGAGGTTGCTCAGTCGGTTTTGTACATCATAGTTTATCTTCGGAAATCACCTCGATGCCACTTTCCCTCATCGATGGATAGGTCGGGATGGTCCAGTTTAGTGGCCACTAAGATCATCCGACCTTACTCTTCCGGATTTTTATCTGTGGGGATTTTTGAAAGACTCAGTGTTTCGTCAACCGCCAACGACGCGGCAGGATATGATGGATCGCATCAGAAATGCGTGCCGAGCGATTCCAGCAAACGTTCTTCTGAAACTCGTCGAAAGTTTCGAAAAACGAATTCGAGTGTGCCGAGCTGTCAATGGCGGCGTTTTCGACATCTACACATCTACACTGTGTATGATGAATGAGATCTCCCTCCCCCTCCCATACACACAAAATCGGCCCATTTTAGGGCCACTATGATGTACAAATCCGACCGAGCAACCTCCCCGCGGTGTACATCGGGTAATGAGAATGCTGGCGGTATGTCAACTTTGAAACTTCATATCTTAGGAATGACTCATGTAAACGACAAAAATAGGTAGTGTTTTGAAAACATCTCGACAAGGGCTACAAGAATATGCAATAAAAAATGGGGAGTTCTATTTAGGATTTTAAAGTTGACCTTTACGTGACCTTCAAACAATCCAAAGTCAAGCCAAGGTCACCGTCAGATGTCCTCCTCTGAACCCTACAACTTTTGTTTCAAACATTTTTCGCGATCTGGCTTACCTGACGAAATAATTCCGATTGTCGATTTAAATGGACTATCCTGTATATAAAGATCCTTTGCGTACCGTATCTTCCTATTTTTACACATATCTAATAGATTAGTTACGAACGTTTGTAATAAATCGATAAAAAATGTAATATAGTGCATAGTTCAGATGCTTTCATTATTTTTACGATGCTTAGTAGATTCGTAAAAAGATTTAACATATTTGAAAAAAAAAATATTAACAAGGCTTGACGAAACTTGTTGTTTAAGTAAAGTTAATCCGGGAAAATATTTAACTCTATTTATTTACGAACTTTATTCATATACAAAATATAGATGGACAACTTACATAGAGTCGCCTCCATAAATGTTAGTTACGGTTCCCAATCCCTCGCTGCAGTCATTTAGATTCATGAGAAGCCGAAGAAAGCGCAGCATAAGTTGTTATACAATACGTTGAAATATAAGAATATATCGATAAAATTGACGTGAAAAATCATCGACGTGGTTGATCTTATAACTATATATTTTGATCACGTTAACTTGATTTTTATTTATTGATTATTGAAGAAAAAGTAAAGTTTTCAGATTATTTCACAAATCCGCTCGATTGATGACAGACACTACTATATGTATATATGTTTTTTATACATATTCTGCAGAAATTATGAGTACAGATATTATCGCTTCTAATGTCATTAATCAAGATGATTACGGCGAGGAAATATCTCACGCAATTTCGACTATTGTTTGTGGCAACGACCTATGATAAAATATATCACATAATGTTATATATTTTACAAATAAAAACATTCACTTTCATAAATGATGATTTATAGTAATCTTGATCTAGAATATCATCCTGTCGCATTCGTATGAAAATAATCCGCCTTTCAGGAAATATCGTCTCATGTATAATGCATTATGTACATTAACATAATACTACATATAATCGTCACCATCATTACAAATCATTTGTAATGAAATCCTGTGGTATATTTGATCATTCTTGATCCGAAAATTCTTGACTTGCTAGATGATAAAAGTAGGAGTCAGCATTCTGAATCAATAAATTTGGCTCGTCAAATTCCAATACCTGCCCATCTCCCATAACTAGAACTCTAAATAGGAAAAGAAACTTTTGAATGAAAAAGAAAAAAAAACTAACAAAGCAAGTTTTTATCGCAGGATTAATTTAAGATTCTTTATATTTTCATACAAACTATTATGCTATGTTTCGTTGAATAACGTAAGAATTTAAATGCGAAAGATAATATACCTATCACAGTGCATAATCGTCCTTATTCTATGGGCGATAGTAATAACCGTCGCACTTTGGAAGGAAGACTTTATTGTTGCTTGTATAAACTTGTCTGTTTCCTGGTCTACGTTTGCGGTAGCTTCGTCGATGCAAACGATCTGCAATAAAAACGTACTAAGTTATTAACACACGAATAATTGCTTGCTCGAATTGTATAAATAAGAAGTACCTTAGCATTATGTAATACAGCCCTGACTAGGCAAAACAATTGTCTCTGACCGGCGCTAAGATTGCCTCCACCTTCATCCAAGACTGCACCCAAGCCGCCCAATCGATAAACTAAAGAGTGTACTTTACACTTCTCCAGAGCTTTATATATATGCAGATCGGTATATTGATCCAGTGGGTCCACATTCTCTCGAATAGTACCCGAAAAAAGAAACGGATTCTGAGGTATAATAGCCAAGCGGGATCTAAAAGTTTCTTAGTTATTAAATTAATCAATATCACAGATGGTTTCTGGCAAGCTTGCTAGATTACCTTAAGGCCTTCAGTTGTAATGTTTGAATGTTTACGTTATCAATTAATATATTCCCCGAAGTAATTTCCGTCAGTCGAAACAACGAAGTTAGCAACGAGCTTTTTCCAGCACCAGTGCGACCAACGATGCCTATCTTCTCTGCTGGTCGCGTCACGAACGTTACTTCTTTCAACGATGGCACTAAATGATCTCTAGAATGCAATGGAATATGTTTCCTCCAAATGCTATAAAAATATATTAATCTCAAAGTTGAAAACAAAAACTTGAAACTCTATTACCTGTACTTTAAAATAACTTCTCTAAATTCAACAACACCCTGACTAGGCCACGCGTAGGGCGGATTATCGCCCATTGTATTTTCGGTGGGCACGTTATCTAAATACTGTTTCATTCGTTCCACCGCAATCATTTCTCTTTCAGTCTCGGTAAAGGAGTTCACCACACCGGATAATAATCCGGTTACGGACAAAGCGTATGTAATCGCCAGGCCGATCAAGCCAGGATCAGCAATATTATATTGATGTTGTAAAACTGCCATAATGCTGACCCCGGCTAAAAGGGTAACACCAATAAATTGTAATCTCAATGCTAACCATTGGCTCGCGGCCACAGAAGCAAACTGCGTTTTCTGACTGGCTTCTAATAACAGTTCGTTCTCTTGTTTGAAACGGGGTACAGTGCGAAACGCTCTGATACTCGCCAGGCCGCTAAGAGTCTCGTTGAAATGGGCGTATAACGGAGACAACGTTACACTGGATAATCTTTTCACTTCTCTCGACGTTAATCTGGAAGGCAATAAAGAATGTGGAAACGTGACTTTTATTGTCAACTTTTATATTCCTGTATTCTTATTTACAAAGCTTCTCAAATTTACCTGTAATGATTTTGTATCCAATGATAAATGGGCACCAAAGGCGCTAATATCAAGAAGATCCATGGTAGTCCATAAGCTGTAACTATGATAGTAGCGATCAAGCCAAACAGATTTGCAAGCAAAATGTTAGCAATAAAAGGAAGCGAATCATCGACTGTATATGTGTCAGATGAGAATCTATTTATGATCCTACCAAGTGGTTGAATATCAAAAAACATTGTTTTCGCCTGAAACGAGAATATTTTCGTAATGAAATCATGATAGAAACAGAATACTAGCATATGATTGTTACATAAGTTTAACTTGTATTCACCCGTACAACCGTCTTCAAAAGTTGTCTGTGCATCGTAATGGCCGCTTGCAAACCGCCATATGCGAATAGAAAAGCTCTGATCAGAGTGAAGACCGAATTAGCTACAGCTAGCAGACTGTAAACTGTTAAATAATAATTTGTATCGTGCGGACTATAATTATCGTAATAGCGGTGCAACTTTTTCACTGTTGACGTATCAGTTGAATTGATCGTCGTTGTGTTAGTGTGTGTCACCCAATATGACAACCACAGGTCCGTAATATTTTTCGAGCTTTGCATCAGAATCATAGAGAGTAATATCGAGATAGCCAAATATTGACCTACAGCCTTGATATAGCACGTGTACACCGAAAAGTGTACCGTTCCTTTTTCGACTACTTCCTTATCAAGTAACGGATCTATCTCGTCATTTCCAGTTAGTTTAATCTCAGTGGGCGGTACTTTTATAGACATCCGGACATCCAAGTCAGATTCGATGGACTCCATCGATAACAGGTAATCTTCTAGATCGGGTAATATGTCGCTCGGTTTTCCTTGATTAATAATTTTTCCCTTCGACATTTCAATCACCAAATCTGCATGAATCAAATATTGTGTCTGATGTGTGCATAGTATCCTGGTTTTATTTCGTAGCAGACCTAGAATCACCTGTTGGAAAACATGTTTGGCAACTTTAACGTCCAATGTCGCCAATATGTCATCCAACAAATAAATGTCTTTATCAGCATATATTGCACGAGCTAAGGAGATTCTCGTTTTTTGGCCACCACTCAATGTGTTCCCGGCTTCGCCAACGGCCGTCAAGTCTTTTTCAGGCAGTGAATTCAAATCAGATGTGAGGGCACAAGCTTTTAAAATATTCCTGTTAAAATAATAAATGAAAAATGTCGGGTTGTAATTAACGTGTCATATATAAAATACGCGGAAACCTAAGGTATGAAGTTAGTCCCCCACTTTCTAATTTTAAATATTTTTTTAGTTGTTCTCAGTTGTTCTCTGTTTGCTCTATATTGTTCCTGAGTTACAAGTCCGAAAACCGAAAAATATAATGGAAAAAACAAAAAACGGTTTCTTTGAGTTGTCCCCCTTTTTTTGAAAAGTCCAAATTTTTTTGTTGTTCTCGATTCTTATTGTTCTAAACATTATTCCTAAATATTAATTCTCCAAAAGCTGTATTTACAAAGATATAACAAAAATAGCATAAAGCGCTCAAATGCAATATTTCTATGTTTATAGCTATCAATATTACTTTCTGACCATAAAATTACATATTCAAGGTAAAAACTGAGAGAACAATCAGGAACAACCGTCAATTTCGCCGGAACAAACGTATAAAAGGCACTTTACTCTTGGAGATAGAGAAATTTTTTCGTTTTTTTTTTACCGATAACGTTGCGCCAGCCGTTTTTTGCTTTTCCCATCGTGTTTTTCGGTTTTCGGACTTGTAATTCAGGAACAATATAAAACAAACAGAGAACAATTGGGAACAACTAAAAAAATTTTAAATAAAAAAATGGGGGGCTAACTTCATACACCTGGAAACCTAATAAAGTTCGCACCAAACTCGATACTTACTTATATTTATTATGATCATATGGTTTTCCGAACAGAATATTATCTCGAATTGTGCCACGTTGTAACCAAGGGTTTTGTTTCACGTATCCGAAGCCTTTGTGGTCATCGTTAACTGCTATGACTCCTGTAGTTTTTGTAATTTCTGCCAAGATTCCATCCAAGAGTAGAGTTTTTCCACTTCCAATCTTTCCCATAATACCGATCAATTGTCCCTGCGCGAACGAATATTTGTTTTACGCATGAAAGGAACATGTTATAAAATCTATTTTTACCTTCTGCACGGACATATTAATATTATGTAGCGCGAAGACATCATCACTCTCAAAAGTAACACTTTTTTTATTCTCAGCGCTTGAGGACGGCATTGCTGCAATTTTCGGACTTGCATCCGTAACGATATTGTTATTTCTCGGATTATTTATAATGAATGTTACATTTTGCAGCAACAAGTCTACATCTGGAGTAATATCTGTATAGTACACCGACGTGTCCATGTCTGGTAGCTGAATTTTAAATAAAAATTGTAATTAAATGTTAACTATTTTTTGCAGTTTGCGTCACAACATAATTTCGCTGTGTACGTACGTCTAGCATTCTTTGAATTCTCTTAAGAGATACCCATGCTTCTGTAAGGCCATTCAGAACCCACGGGAATGCGTTTAAAGGTCCTATCAACATGTTCAATAACGCCATACTAGTGAAGACAATTTTGGCGTCTAATTTATTTCCAAACAAGACGTATGTCGCGAACGTTAATATCGCGATGATAACAGGTGTAGTCGCCCAGAAATAGACACAAAGAGCGTCCAGATATTTCCTACCTCGTAAATACTTTATTTCGCTTTCGCGTAGCTCTAAATGAATATAAAAATACCCAGATAAGATTGTTGCAGAAAGAAAACATTCTATTAACATGATTCATACTAAAATATACTAACTGAAGATACTTCGTAGAAAGTGCTCTTCCCATACGTTAACTTTGATCGTAGTTATCCCGCGCAAAGTCTCTCCCACTAGTCTCACTCGCTGATCTTTGTATTCCATTAATTTGGTGCTAAGTTTACCAATTTTATTTGCTATGATTTTATTAATTGGTATAAGCACTATCGAAAATGCAACCCCAGCTAAAAATGAAGCACCGATCTGCTGATGCAGAAGATATAACGTGACAAACAACTGCAAATATAAATATATTTTTACGATATCTTTAAAAAAAGAAACCAAAAAAATTCACTAATGATATAAAGATTGATTGATTATGTTTTAAATATTAAATGTTAAATATTAAAAAAATAAAAAAAGAGAAAAGAATTTATAATGATATTATATAATTACCTGTAAAGGTATGCTCCAAAGTGTGTGAAAACTAGGACAGCTATTAACTAATCTATCACTATCAGTGCTCATAAAATTCACGATTTCGCCAAAGTTGAAATTATGATTTAAATCGATATTAGAAGAATGCAATGTTTTCCGATACACTAAGGTGATAACCGCGGAACGTATCTTCAAGCCCACAACTGACATCCAAAATGTAAAGTGTGTATTACAAAAAGCACCTATAGAAACGTCGTCATAATTTATATAATATTTAAAAGATATCGAAGTATGTTAACTTTGAGTTTATACCAATTATAGCGCTGATTATTATAAGAGATGCATATAAATATCCATGTGAAATTGGCTCGTTTTTATCTTCGATGAAACCTATCAATTTGCTCAACAATATTGGCCCCATAAACGAGCTGCTGTCTGCGATAAATTTCAATATTCCAACCGCATAAAATTCCCAACCGAAACATTGATGTAGCAAGTAAAACAATGTCACTTTCTTCGTAATTATTTTTACGTTTGGATGAAGTGGTATTTCCGAGTTATTTTCGATTCCGTTGCTTACAGATTTCTGCTGCAACATTATTTATTATTGGTACTATTAATTTGATTATCATGTTCATTTATACAAATACTCAATAAAAATATCATATAATATTATTGGTAAAAAACATACTATTGAGTCTTTTTAACGTACCGTATCATATAAATATTTGTCAATTTTATGACTGATTGTGTTAGTGCTGATTTGGTCCGGCAAATCAAACAAGTCCTCCGAATTATTCAATAATCCTCTGACACCTTTTTCCATTAACGGGGTTACCCAATGGAACAGGAGTTTCGAAGTGATGGTTGTATCTTCCATAGCAATTCCAAGATAACTTGGATCCTGTTCCTCCGGAAATTGTACGTACGAAGAACTGGGAGTATTTAATAGTGCAGTGCGTTCTCCTATCTATAAACAGTGCTACGCTAATCGGTGATATCTATGTTTATTTGATAATTCGCAATTTTAGATACAATAGCAGGCTTAAGTATAAAATAAGAGACTATGAATTATAACAAAGATACTATATTAAACAAGCAGATATGATTTCATGCAACTGATTCATTTAAGATTCGGTAACAGATGTTAATTTCATTTAAGATTCGGTAACAGATGTAACAGATGTTAATTTAAGATAATCTTAATAGATTACAATCCACTATGTAAAATCGAATATTCTTTTGACCTGAAATTTTTATTTCCTACTATATAATGAGTAATTTAATAAATATTCTATACAATTTGAATATTTCCAGATAATCACAATATTATTAAAAACAAATTGGTAAATTAGATAATTTAGTGATAGCAACCAGCAGAAACTTACTGCAATATTTCGAGATGATGCTCCCGTATGCTCCAGTATACCAGGACCTGATATCAATGTTATGGTATACAATATCAGAAGCGTGACCACACTGATACTAAATCCCAATGATAAGTTTGGTAAAACATCATCTTTCGGTTTATTATTGACGTGACTGCGTAGTAGCAATACAGAAATAACTATCAACAGGAATATTAACGCTCGTATTAATATTGGACCACGTGGATTGGGACCACGTCTTCCACGTTTCAAGCTTAATATAAAACAAAGATGCACAACCCATGCTAAACCTTCAGTGCCAGCGACGAGATAATCCACTGGTTTAGCAGAAGTGAATTTATCAGTAATATTTGATAATATTGGATCATAGTTGCTGATATATGGTGTGACAACTGTTGTGATTTCTTTAACACTGTTTTCTGATGATGAGAATGATTCAGCAAGCCTAGCAGTATGATTTAATTCGTTATGTATCCTGCTAATGATATCTATTCCATCCAAAGTTAAATTTGTTCTTTTAGGAGAGGAAGTGACCAATCTTTGTGGTGCTAATGTGTTATAGTCTTGCACTTCATTGTGTACCAAAGGAATGGTAGTTTTTGTTAAAATAATATATGCCCTTATAATAGGCAATATCATTAAACATATTGTAATCAGAATTCTTATGTTTATAGCACGGTGAGTATACTGTTGTCGTGTTATTACTGCATGTCTCTTCCCACAATGATACGCAGAAATTATAGCTATGAGAACTAATACTGGTATCTGGAAATTATGAACTAAATTTATTAACAATAATGATAATCATAATAAATATTGATTCAAACATCAAACATAATGCAATTTAAAATATATTATGCAATATATAATATGTAATAAATGCAAATTATGCAATGCATTATAAAATATATTACACTACCTGAAGACAGAGCTGTTGGAAACAAACATTTAAATCATGAGTCTCTGGATTCAAAGGTTTAATACCTCCATTGTGTCCACAAAATTCTGTCCAGTTCCACTTCCACTTTTCCACATCATAAAACCAATTCTCCGCCATGCTGCAGTATCGCAATTATGATTACTTCATAGTTAACAATTTTCATATCCAATAGGTTAAATAAATATTGTGACAACAATATTATACACATAAATGACATATACATATGAAATTATTATTATTATTATTTAATTATGTAGTTATACACATATATAAATATGTTATAATAGATAAATCAAATTTTTTCTGAATAAAATAAACAAAGGATATCTAAATAGAATGATATAAAGTTTGAATTAGTGTTTTGTTTATGTACATTGTTATTATAGTTAAATCTTCACATAATTTGTACGTACAAACATGCTGAATGATAATATCTCATTAATCAACTAGGAAAGTAAGTATACGTTATAATAATATTAAACTCGAAAATCTAGTAATTGCAACACGATATCATGGTCGATTAAACTGACTGATAATCATCAATTACTGTCAGATAAGAGAACGCATCATTAGTAAACAATGTAATTAGACATATTGCAAAAATGTACCTTTTAATCGAGGAATTGCCATAAATATAAAAGTATTCGATGTTAATATGCACTGCACTATTTATTGCAACTCCTCATTCGCATTACATTTTGCTGCTGCGCTCTCATATCGGTGACACTTATAGGTTAAGTTTTCCATGACAGTGACGCATAATGACGCATGTTAGTGACTGATATATTCGACTAGTCCGACAAAACATCCTATTCGAGACGAATCGTGCGGATTCCCCGAGTCATATGTTTATCTAATTTAATTATTTAATTCTCTATTTATCAGTAGCATAAACGCTACTAACAATGACAAATTAAAGTGAATGTTAAAAAAGAATAAAAAATATAATGTAAAAGGATACATTTTCTTTATATCGTTTTAAAATTGTTTTTCCAGATAAAAAAGAACCAAATAAATATTGCAGCACGCCAGTGTAGTGCGTATATCATACTCTGTTCGATTTCTTGAATTTACATTGTGAATGATGAGCGAGATTGAAACTCAGAAGGAAAACATAATGGAAGTTAAGAAAGATGCGTCATATAATGAGAGCAAAGATAGCAATAACAAACAAAGTATAAACGCAACACCTGATAATCTTGAAGAAGAAATGCTAAATTATGTAGCTAGTAGTACAGCAATTTTCAAAAGTCAACAAAAGGAAGAAGCTGAATTGACATTTGAAGAGAAATGTGTCATAGCTAAGAAACTATTGGAAAAGAATCATTGCTTGTTCTTGTCTAAGTTCGGGCATTATCTAAAGGAAGAACATTTAGAATATTTTAGCAAAAACAAAGATTATGAGATAACCTTTCATATAAACAGGTTACGGAGATATTTTAATAATTTAACACGGCATGTTGATGTTAGGAATAGAAGGTATGAAGCTATGAAGATACTGATAGAGAAGGGCGAGTACTTTAGTGAATGTGAAATGATGAAAAGAAACCCCTTATTATATGAGCATTTAGTAGGACAATATTTGACAGAGGCCGAGAAGAAAGCTAGAGACAGTATTGACACACACAATATAAATTATGTGGATATACTTATGGAAACTATTGAGAGAGATAAACTGCAAAAATATCTGAAATGTCAACAAAAGGAAGAGGATAGTGTTCGAGAGGAGAATGATTCTGATGATGACAATGATGATAATGATAATGATGGGAGTGTCACATCCAAGACTAGCAGTTTTAATGAACAGACTCGTTTTCATTGGGGTGCATGCTTAAATGAAACAATAGATGACGATGATAAGAACAAAGATAAGATATTACAAAATAGTAAAATACAACACAAGATATCAAATGAAGAAATACAATTATTTAGACAAGAATTTCTTACAAACATGTATCAAAGTTTCCTGGATGGTAACGATAGAAATTTTGACTATAGGTATATCTATTATGTATATTTATTATGTTGATTAATACTTATAATTCAATATATGGAAGCTTTATATAGAACATTTTAAAATAAATTAATATAATGATTTTGTTTTTAAATTAAATATCAATTTAAGGATATGTATATACACACATGCATTATATATATATACAGGGTGCACGATTTATCTGAAGACATTGAAATATCTCGAGAACTATGCATTGGATAAAAAAAAGTGGTTAATGAAAGTTGTTAGTCTCGAAGGGGGACATCCAATGATACCAAACTCGACCTCCCACCCCACCCCTTGGGGGTGGGGGTTGGGGGCAACTTTGAAATCTTAAATGGAAACCCCCATTTTTTATTGCAGATACGGATTCTACGCCACAAAATACGTAAATTTTGTCCGAAACTTTTTTTTGATTCGTGATAGATGGCGCTGTAATCGCAAAAAATTATATTTTCCGCAATTCTCCAGAAATGATCATTGGATTGAGAAATAAAAAATACCTGTTCAATATTTTTAAAGAACATAATAAAAGTTATTCCCCCCGCATCCTCTCGGGGTAGGGTGGGTGATAACGTTCAGATCTCAAATGGGGACCCACATTTTTCATTGCAGAATTAGATTGTACGTGAAATTTTTATTGAAACAATTTATTGAAACACAGAATTAGATTGTAAGTGAAATTTTTATTGAAACAATCAATAAGTGTATTGAAGTTGAAAGTAAAAATTTCGAACACTTACTCTAATTAATTGAACAGTGAGAGGCAAGGGGACTCACATTAAAAAAGCACCCCGATCTGTGAGAGGCAAGGGGACTCACATTAAAAAAGCACCCGAAGGGAACATAAAACTACTACGTCCTCGTCGTTGTTCCTGTGTAACGCTAAAAGTAGTTTCTCGGAAAAATGCAACGCTATCTATCACGAATGAAAAAAATGGTTTCAATAAAAATTTCACGTACAATCTAATTCTGCAATGAAAAATGTGGGTCCCCATTTGAGATTTGAACGTTATCACCCACCCTACCCCGAGAGGATGGGGGGGAATAACTTTTATTATGTTCTTTAAAAATATTGAACAGGTATTTTTTATTTCTCAATCCAATGATCATTTCTGGAGAATTGCGGAAAATATAATTTTTTGCGATTACAGCGCCATCTATCACGAATCAAAAAAAAGTTTCGGACAAAATTTACGTATTTTGTGGCGTAGAATCCGTATCTGCAATAAAAAATGGGGGTTTCCATTTAAGATTTCAAAGTTGCCCCCAACCCCCACCCCCAGGGGGTGGGGTGGGAGGTCGAGTTTGATATCATTGGATGTCCCCCTTCGAGACTAACAACTTTCATTAACCACTTTTTTTTATCCAATGCATAGTTCTCGAGATATTTCAATGTCTTCAGATAAATCGTGCACCCTGTATATACACAGGGTGCATAAAAAGTACTGGGACAGTGAAATATTACAAAAATTAAGCATTTTAGGAAAAATAGTTTCAAATAAAAATTGTAGGGTTTCAAAAGATCTATTTACTGACATTATGAGTTTGACCTTGGGTGACGTCGCCAAGGTCAGGACAAGGTCACCTTGAATTTTTTAAATGTGATCCCCAATTTTTTATCGTATATTCTTGTAGCCCTTTTTCAGACCCTTTCAAAGCACTATAATTTTTACCACTGAGTAAGCCGTTTCGAAGTTATCGAGCTTTTTATGATAAGATGTCCAGCCAGCGGCTAGAGCAATTTCGTGACTTGTATTTCAGACACATATAATATTAAAAAGTAATATTAATGTACTAAATTTATAACAGCACTAAACTGCATTTTCGAATCATTTCAAATCAATTGCGATGAATTTGACTTAAAGTAGAACACATTACTTATACATGATACGCGTTGTTTTTATACAAGGAAAAGATAAATGATTTTTCTTACTGATTTTTCTTTCTGTAATTGAATTATCGATTTTGTTATCTAATTAATACAAATTTCTGTTTATTGGATAAATCTTTTTGTTTCCTAGCTTATTCGTTAGACTACCCAAATAGCACAAAATCTCCTGAAGACATCCTGAGGACGTTTTAGGGATATTCTTAGAACGTAGGGACGTCCTCAGGATGTCTTTGGGATGTTCTTTGGAGATCTGTGCTGTATAGGTACTTTTTCTTTTAGAGATTTTTTTAGAGAGGGAGAGAACATTATTCTCAAACGCTTTTCTAAAGATCTTGCCTTGGCTGGCTCGATATTTCTTTGATTTTGCCTTGGTTGGACATCTTATTATAAAAAGCTCGATAACTTTGAAACGGCTTACTCAAAGTAGAAAAAATTATAGTGCTTTGAAAAGGTCTGAAGAAAGGCTACAAGAATATGCAATAAAAAATAGGGGGTCCTATCTAAAAAAAATTCAAGGTAACCTTATCCTGACCTTGGCGACGCCACCCAAGGTCAAACTCATAATGTCAGTAAATAGATCTTTTAAAACCCTACAATTTTTATTTGAAACATTTTTTCCTAAAATGCTTAGTTTTTGTAATATTTCATTGTCCCAGTAGTTTTTATACACCTTGTATATTCTTATATACTTTATAATACATTATGTATACATACATACATACATATATATATTAGTATATATATATGTATATATGTAGTGTGTATATATATATATACACATCCTTATATTATATATATATATATATATATTTCATTTTATATATTTTTTTCTATTTATAATTACAGATAATAAGAATCCTTTCATCAAACATTTTAATATAACAATTATATTATTAGATATTTTCATTTTTATTTTCAGCACTGTGGATGACAATGAGGTTTATGATAATATTAAATTGAGAAATCAAGATGAGGAAGAAAAATACTTTGATTCTGAATCCCCTAAAACTGTACTTTCACATAATGAGAGTAGTGACCGTAGCGAATCTGAAGATGAGCTGGATGCATATATGAAAACATTAAAGGTTATATAATATTTCACAATTTACAATTGCCCCACTGTTGTTGGCATTGATTCACAGAAAGGTTATTTATTCATTAGGAACAGACTCCTACAAATCCACATTCGTTGGATAATCTGACATAGCACTGTATATATTGGGTTACAATAAATTTATTTGTATATAACAAGAGTCTTTGTAATTGTATACATTTTTTTCCTATATCATACTATTTATATTATAAAATAATTTTATCTTTTTCCTTTTTCTTTCTTATAAAAAGTTTAAAAGTTACATAAAATACTCAATTATAAAATTTCCTGTTTGGTTCATACTATACTTTCTCGATGTTAATTTTAAATTAAATGAATATAACTTTTTAGTGACATATAGAAATGGCAATACATTTGTTATTAAGATTTTCTTTCCATTCTTACATGCCGTCAATTGATATTTAATTATCTCAAATCGTAAAAAAGTTGATATTAATTATCTCAAATCAATTTGATTTATTTGTTGAATCATGTACATATATTTAAATTATATTTAAATTTATTTTTGAAAATTTCAAATCATGTTCGATGTGACTCAAAAAAAGTGACAAATAAGGATAAGACACAATACAGCAACACGGTCGGCGGATCGAAATGATTATCTATCGGAACTGTCGGAACTCTAACGGAGGCAGGCGTATCTAGTTTCTTGTCAAAGGGAATATCTACAGCGCAACGAGCAATTGTATATTTTTTTTTAAAGAAAATGGTGAGTATCGTTGAACTATGAGAGGCATGTTACGCAGTTCCGCTTACAAGGATAAGTATTTTTTCTCAAATTCAATCTGTGTGGTGTTAATCATCGCATATTAATCTGGCGTCATGGAGGTTATCTCTGTCGCAAAAAGTTTTAGAACTGTTTCGTCGTGATTTTCAGAAGGCGATGACTGGAAATGGAATGCTTAATTTCTTGTTTTTGTGCGCGATCTAATTAGCGTTTATATAAATTGTAAGTTGTATGTACGTTTGATAGTTGCATCCATAACCTATTATGCAGCTCATAATTTATATCCTATTAAAAGAATTATATTGAAAAATGAAAATTCCTGAAGTTTTAGTAATTTAATACGCCGTTTAATATTACGTTTTGCCTTTCCATAAATACAACCATTTTTAATTATATTTATAAGTAGATTAGTTATGCTTGTCCCAATAATGTATCCCTAGAGCATAAGCATCCTTAATGCATGCTTGAGTTGGTTAGTTTACCTAGCATGGTACTACCTGGTATTCCTGGTAGGTATCTGTATTTTTCTCACAGCCAATGACATCTGCCATGACGGGAATGGAAGATCAAGAAAAATTATTGGAGGATGCAATTGGCGTGGTAAAAGTTCAAGCTTTTCAAATGAAACATTGTCTCGATAAATCCAAACTAATGGATGCTCTCAAACATGCTTCTACTATGCTGGGGGAACTTAGGACCTCACTTTTGAGTCCAAAGAGCTACTATGAATTGTGTATCCTTATTAAATTAAATATAATCAGAGATTGTCTAAATTATAATATCTGACATAATTACTCTGGCTTTATGTGTTTAATAAATATTCCTTATAACAATCATTATTAGATATGGCAATCACAGATGAACTACGACATTTGGAACTTTATTTGTTAGATGAGTTTCAGAAAGGAAGAAAAGTTACAGATCTTTATGAATTAGTACAATATGTTGGTAATATTGTACCTAGACTGTATGTATACATTTTATAATTTTACATTATTATTATCCTTGTAATTGAGAAGCTAAATAATCTGGTGAAAATTGCAGTTATTTACTTATTACTGTTGGTTTGGTTTATATCAAGACAACTCCAGGCTTAAAAAGAGATCTTTTGAGAGATCTTGTAGAAATGTGCAGAGGAGTGCAACATCCTTTGCGAGGTTTATTTCTGAGAAATTATCTATTGCAATGCACAAGAAATATTTTGCCAGATGTTGCCGAAGGTGATGATGAAGATGGAACAGTATGTATTTCATAAATCACCAAATTTTCTTTGTATATATTACTCCTGAACCTTTATTTTCAGGTCCGTGACAGCATAGATTTTGTTCTCATGAATTTTGCAGAAATGAATAAATTGTGGGTACGCATGCAACATCAGGGACACAGTAGGGATAGAGAGAGAAGGGAGAGAGAAAGGGAAGAGCTTAGAATTTTAGTGGGAACTAATCTTGTACGACTTAGTCAACTTGAGTCTGTAACATTAGATAAATATAAGAAGGTACATTTCGTGATTTCTATTTTTTCAACCAAATTTATCATACATTATATCATATAAAGCTATTTTCAGCTTGTATTGCCAGGCATCTTAGAACAGGTGGTTAGTTGTAGAGACGCAATAGCACAGGAATACCTTATGGAATGTATAATTCAGGTAAATGACCTACATATACCTTGTTTTATAAGAAAAATAAAATAAAATGGTTAATGCTTACTATTTTTCACTAGGTGTTTCCTGATGAATTTCATTTGCAAACGTTAAATGCATTTCTAAAATCCTGTGCAGAATTACAAACTGGAGTGAATGTTAAGAACATAATTATATCATTGATTGACCGACTCGCAGCTTTTAGCCAACGATCTGACGGTGTAGGAGGACCAGGAAGTCCTAGTCAAGTACCAGGAATCCCACAAGATGTTAAGCTTTTTGACGTATTTAGTGATCAAATTGCCACTATTATACAGGTATATTTATGGAATAGAATAGATTTTATATCTGTTTTTGTTAAATAACCATTCAGTGATGATTAGATACTGCACAAACGTTTGATAGTTATTTCGTGATTCAGAAATCAAAAAATTCCTTACCATCTAGTTTAAGTCTGAGAATGGTTAGAATATCTTTTTTTTTATTATAGTATATTTACTTTTATCGAATGTATATAAAAAAGCTTTTCTCTTTCGTAGACAAGGCAAGATATGCCTCCCGAAGATATTGTGTCACTTCAAGTAGCTCTCATAAATTTAGCACATAAATGCTATCCCGATCGGGTAGATTACGTAGATAAGGTTTTATTCACTACTGTCCAGATTTTCCAGAAACAAAATGTCGACAAGTGAGTATGCAGTTTAATGTACACGTTAAATCATATATGTATTGTGTGTGTGTGTGTGTATATATTTAAATTAGTACATATATATACAGAGTGTTTAATTTTAAGTGATATGGTTTATTATCTCGTGAATCAATGATTTTATTGAAACATTTTTCGAATGAAAGTTGCATGGCTTAAAGGGGGGGACTCATGATGGAAATGTAGATTTGACCTTGAGTGACCTTGTCAAAATCAGGTCAAGGTTATTAATGTTTTTTTAAATGAAAATCCCTATTTTTATTACATATTCTTGCTTATCTCGAGAACTTTCCAAAAACACTATAATAACACTATAATAAAGTTACGTTTCATTTAGTACTTTCCGAGTTATGAGGCTTGAAAGTTAAGGCAAGACTGATCACTGATCCGGCCAACTAAGACAAAACCGATCACTAATCCGGCCAACTAAGGCAAGACCGATCACTGATCCGGCCAAGAAGAAGTAAGAATTCCGCTCACACGCACATGCGTACATGGATAACGCCGGCGATACTGTAACTTTCAAGCTTCATAACTCGGAAAGTACTCAAACGTTACTTTATTATAGTGTTTTGGAAGGCTCTCGCGATAAGCTACAAGAATATGTAATAAAAAATAGAGGTTTCCGTTTAAAAAAACATCAATGGCCTGATTGAATGAACATGAAATTGACCTGATTTTGACAAAGTCACTCAAGGTCAAGTCCACATTTCCATCATGTGTCCCCCTTCAAGCCATGCAACTTTCATTCGAAAAATTTTTCAATAAAATCATCGATTCGCGAAATAATCGACCATATCACTTAAAATTAAACACCCTGTATATATATATGTATGTGTATATACATATATATAATATATATATATATATATGTATGTATATGTATATAAAATATTTCACACGTTTCTTTTTTCTAGATTGGAATATAATAGCGCCGTTTCGAGAGAGTTGGTGAGACTAATGAAAATTCCTGTAGACAACTACAAGAATATATTAACCGTATTAAAACTTGAACATTATGCACCTCTTCTGGATTATTTCGATTATGAGGGTAGAAAACTGCTAGCTATCTATATAATAACAAATATATTAGAAAACGAAACATTGATACCGACACAAGAGCAAGTAGATGCCGTGTTGTCCATGGTATCACCCTTGGTGCAAGATCAACCGGATCAACCAAACATAGAGGAAGATCCCGAAGATTTCGCCGAGGAACAAGGATTGCTCGGCAGACTGATACATCATTTTAAGTCAGAGACGGCGGATCAACAGTACATGATATTAAGCGCTGCGAGGAAGCATTTCAGTACAGGCGGTAACAAAAGAATAAAATATACTCTACCACCTATAGTTTTCCAGAGTTATCAATTGGCTTTTACATATAAAGCATTGAAAGATCAGGTTAGTAATTTTTATGCGAGCATGATTAAATCATTGAATACATATTCAATGAAAATTGATAATCTCTTTTTTTTTTCAGGATGAAATGTGGCAAAAGAAATGTCAGAAAATCTTTCAATTCTGCCACACGACTATCACGGCTCTGATGAAGGCTGAACTGGCTGAACTACCTTTAAGGCTATTTCTGCAAGGCGCGATAGCGATCGGTGAAATCCGCTTCGATAACTTCGAGATGGTTGCGTACGAATTTATGAGTCAAGCATTTTCGATATATGAGGATGAGATAAGTGACTCGAAAGCGCAACTCGCGGCCATCACCTTGATCATCGCCACATTCGAACAAATGAGTTGTTTTAGTGAGGAAAATGCAGAGCCGGTGCGCAATCAATGCGCTTTATACGCTAGTAAATTGCTGAGGAAGCCTGACCAATGTAGAGGTGTCGCAACCTGCTCTCACATATTTTGGTCGGGGAAGTCTTTAGCTACAGACGGAAAAGAGGTATATACGAACATATTGAGCTGATTTCGATCATTTAAACTTAATTTTTAACGAAAAGTATTATTTTTCAGATGCAAGAAGGCAGCAAAGTGTTAGATTGCTTGAAGAAAGGTATTAGGATAGCGAGCCAATGTATGGACACGTCGGTGCAAGTGCAGCTATATGTAGAACTACTGAATCATTATATTTATTTCTACGAAAAAGGAAATACAGCTGTAAGACTTATAATGAAGCATGTGAGTTTATTATTTTTACATTGCCTTTTACAAACATTTCTTTCTTACAGGTAACTGTACAGATATTGAATCAAGTAATCGCGAAAATTAGGGAGGAGCTTCCTAATTTAGAAGCGAGCGAGGAAACTGATCAAATACAAAAGCATTTAGCAAACACGTTAGAACATTTAAGAAATAGGATGGAGTCTCCAGAATCTGATGGACTTTCTTATCACGATCTTGTTCTTTAACTGTAAGGAATTGACACTGTAATTTTGTAAATAATATATTTCTAGAATATACAAAATAACTGGGCCGATTGCGCCAACAATTAGCGTTGATCCCGATTAATTTAATTCTCATTTTCCATCTTCATTGTTAACAGAAATGTACGAGAAAAGATAGTAAATCGCTAATTGAATTATTCGCGATTGCTACGACGATTTAATCTAATAATTCTGAGATTATACATTTCATAGCTCGTAGATGGATGTTCAAATTGTATCAAATTGCCTATACTAGATGATTTGTTAACGTTGTATCGAATATATAGGAATCCATATATATATATAGAATAATATGTACATTTGTTTTAATAAAAGTTTATTAAAAAATTATATATATTCGCCTCTTGAAAATAAAATAAAAATCTTTGAGATTCCTATTTCGAGACGTGTTATTTCAAAAGGGAAAGATTTGCTGTATTAAGTATGCCTTTTTTAAATACATATGGATATATTAAATGTAATTTAATACGACAAAAAATATGTAAAGAGAGCTTCAATTGTAATAAGTTGTGCTATATATGCAATAGTAGTTCTTCAAAAGTTTCTCAAAAATATTCATATTAATAGTACAAGGAATATCTATTGATTGATATCTAAAAAAAATAAAATTAAAGGAAAAATTTATAATAAAAGAAAATAGAATAAGATTAAAATTTATATTAGAAATAAATAAGTATGGCGAGATTCTCTTTTTCTTTCTAAAAATAATTAATTTGATATAGATATCACATTTCTCACAGAAATTTTATTTTATTTGTATCGCAGATAAAATGTTAACATATAAAAAGCAATTAATTAAAAATGATACTTGTAGTTGTTAGTCTTATATATAATTACTTTTTATCTGTGATGCATATTTGTACCTGCAATATAGTTATATGCATATTATTTATTGAGATATGAAGTATGTGAGTTTCTATAAGATATGTGCGTCTACAGCTCGTGGAGAGAATTATTACATTTCATTGCAATATAAATATAATGTTTTATTGCAATATTTCTGAGAGTAGATATGTCAAGATTGTCACAATGTTGTATAATTATTTTGCGGAGATATTTCATAATTTCCATGTGATATTACAATGTCACTGTGTAATGTTTGTGTTGCAATATTTCTGTACAGAATAGGATGTGACGTTACGGAATTAGAACCACGCAAGAAAATATGTTTAAAGTAAAAAAATGCAATGACATAAAAAAATCAAATACTAGTTCCTTTCTATTGTTGATCAAACGATCAAACTATAGTTTGTGTAATTTATTTAATTTGTTAAAACACAGAATTTGTTACAGTATGATTACAATAGTTATACTATTCTAAAATTTCTCATAAACAATCCGTATATTTTAAAATGTCTTACTTTAGTAAGTTAAAGCTATTATATCGATATATATTATATTGATATTTATCACTAAGTATATATTTTATGCCAATATAGCCGTAAAATTGCATTGCAATATTCCTAAAGACGAATATTTTTCTGTTACCATAATTGGAGAATAACATTTCACGATATATCTACAATATTGTAATCTTACAAGAAAACATTATGTTATTGCAATTTCGATGTGTTGTATGGAGTCATTTTGTTATTGGAATTATTACATCATAAAATATGATGACGAAATGATATTATTTTGATATTTCTATGGGACTGATTTGTTTTCCTCGAGCAAATATTTTTAATAGAAATTATTTTATCGTCCACTACACTTGACCATATTCTATCTATTGACCATTGATCGCAGCTGCAACTTTATCGCTATCCAGCATCGTAATGTGATTACCTTCGATAGAACGCACTTCTACATCTCCTTTAGTAATCTAAAAATTAATTTAATAGTTAATTGTGTCTTTTTCTTCACATATGCTGTGTTTACGTCTTAAGAAACGTCTTTATATAGAAAAAAAATTACCTTATGTAGACCATAATTTTCCTCAGTTAAACACACCGATTGTTCAGTTGGCTTCAGAAATGTAATAGGTGACATAATTTTTGGTACTTGTGTGATATCGTATTCGTAGAAAGCACGAATGCGATTGCAAATTGTTGTACATAAAACTTTTACATGATCGATCGATATATTCTTATGTAATTGAGGAGAATAACTTAGAAATATATTCAACTTGTCATCCCAGTTAGTGCCTTTATTTAATTCCATGAGAAGCTGCAGAATAATTAGATTATTTAACTTTCGTATAGAAATTCTATGTTTAAAATTAAAACACATATAATAATAAATACCTTTCTTTCACTGACGGCAAGATTTAATAAATTCATTACAATAAGGAGAACATTATTATGAAATTCGTCTATCGTAGTATAAGGTATATATTGATTCATCAATGCTTTTATCTGCATAGGTGCGCCATCAATGAGCACTAATTGGCCTCGAATGTTCATTTCTTCCAACTTCTTTGTTAATTCGATCCCTATTAATGCTCCATACGAATACGCAACTATTACAAAGTTCCTTTTCAACTTGATTTTGTTCAATATATGCTGAAAACATAAGGAAAACGATGAAACAAGGAAATGTAGTTCCACTATTAGTCCTTTACTGCATGCAGATATAATAAAATAAAGGAGTCATACTTTTAAAACACAATTGGTGATCTCGGTTATTGTGTAATAATTGTTGCCAATATGATACGTTCCATATTGTAAGCACATTGCAGAACCTTCTATTTTGGATGCCAGCATGTTGAAAATATTTCCGCAACCATCGATTCCCGGCAACAAAAATATGTCTCTTTCGGGTTTATTGCTTTTTGTCGGAAGGTCCATACAAATGTCAGGGTTCGAGTAACCTTTATCCATTACACGAATAAGTGTATTTATGCCAGGCAAATCGTTTACATCCGACAGATTATTAGAAGGCAATTTCTCATCCCGTGCTTCTTGATTACACATCTCAGAGAGCTTGGCAAAATTGAGATTACGAATACCCTGAGCAGTAAGATAGATTCCAAAATTGTTTTCCAAGGTCTGTTTAATTTCCACGGCCATCAACGAATCCATTCCAAGTTCAGGCAGGCGTATGTGACCAGAAATAGCCTTCACATTTTTAAAACCTTGACATATAAAATTTCAGTGCTCTGAGCCGAAATATTGTCAACCAAATGAAGTTGCGTTTGTAGCAGTGCTAGATAACCATAGCCGGAATCAATAAGCTCTAATCTTTTTTCAACATAATCCGATAAGAAAAGAATATGATATAAATATATTCAAATCCTATTGAAATACTACATGACTTTCTTATAGATAGCGCCGGGGTGTCGGGAAGGGAATGCAGGCGTAGCTCCCCTGACTCCCTCCACCACGGTCCGAATGGTAGGCACCACGCAGGAGTTTTAGTCGGTAGAAGTCCGACATAACCCCCGCCCTCCCCAAAAGGGCGGGGGTATCCATGAGGATTTCCCCTGCGTGACCAAAAAAAAAAGAAAGGCTTTCTCATAGAGCTTCGAAACTTCCAGTTACATTGTACGAACTTTGCAACATTGCAAGGTGCAATTTAATATTCCAAAGACATTATAGATAATTGTAATTGCAATTGCAATTTTTGATTATTATAAACCGTAATAAAAATAAAAGCATCCGAAATTTTTAAAAAGACATGCTAAACATATAATCTAATATTTACAAACTAAAAACATAACAGAATATTATCTAAATCTGATAAAGCACAAGTAAAAATCGACTAAAATTGATGAGCAGATTATGCGATAATAATATAGGGAAAGATAATTAATCAAACGTGCGAGATATTTACAAGTCAGAAACACGATCTCTCTCTCTCTCTCTCTCTCTGTCTCACTCCTAATTTCATATATAGCTTTTCTTATCTAATTTTACTACATCTTTTAAAAAAGGTAGATAGATATCCAATTAAATATTTGCATATTTCTTTCGCAAAACAGTATTTAATATTATGTAATTATAATATTATTTAATTACCCATAATGTTGGCTACAGCATCGACAACACTGATCGTGCTAACTTTTTTCGAATTCTTCTTATCCAGAACCATACTTGCCACTATAGGCTGTTCTTGCAATAGAAATTCCTCTAACTTCTCTATACAGGAATTTATGTTCTGTTGTACTGTACCGCCAGTATATTTTTCTTTCATGTCCGATATGTCGATCAAAACCCCGATATCATCGAATGCGCCCCACTGAATGGCCAATCCGTGTAATCCTTTCTGCGATCTCCTCTCGCAGATCCTTTCCATGATAGAATTTGCCATTGCGTAATTACTCTGTCCAATATTTCCTCTACCGCACGTTTCGGAAGAGAAGACGACAAAGTGTCGAAGTTGAGGACATATTTGTCTGGACAACTGGTCCAAGTTCTTCGTGGCTCCAACTTTCGCTTTGAATGGTATCTGGAACGACTCTATCGTATGGTTCTGATAAATTTTATCGTTTAGTACTACTGCAAGATTGAATATGGCGTCTATTGGCGCCAGCTCTTCTGTTGTTCTCAATATGTGTTCGCATTCTTTGACATCTGATACATCAATATTCGAGATTAATATTTTCACTCCGTAGGATTCCCATTGTCCAATTTTCATACGCTGGTACCCATTCTTTATCCCAGTGCGTGAGATTAGAACGAGATTGTTTGCACCCCGAGTGACTAACCAACCGGCGAGTTCGAACCCGAAACCACCCAATCCTCCTAGGATAATGTATGACTTATTCGGTAAACAATAGTAACGTGGCAGGGCAAGAATAGGTGTGCTTATAGATTCTTCTTCTTCCTGTACTTTTATAATTATCTAAACATGTGAAATAAAACCAATCAACCACTATATTTTTTTGTACTTTGTTTTATACATGTTTGTTAATAGTAAATGAAATTACTCACTTTTCCGATATGTTTTCCAGTTGACATGTATCTAAAGGCCCTTTCTACTACATCCTTTTGAAAAACTTTTCTAACAATTGGCTTAACGACTCCGTTATCGAGACCGATAGTTAGTAACGTGTTTAAGTGACGTTTCTCTTCATTATCATTGCAAAGGACGTTCTCTAACAATATACCGTAAAATTTAATCCCTTTGGAAAAGAATGACATATTCAGAGTATTATTGACCATCATATCAAACTTTCCGATTTCCAAGAAACACCCGCCTCTTGCAAGGCAACGTATAGACGCCTGGAGTTTGTCCTCGGCTAAAGAATTTAATACAACATCCACGCCACGACCATTTGTTTGTTGGTATATCATTTGCTCGAAGCTAGTGTCGCGCGAACGTCCAATATGCTCTTCCGGGATGGACGGGAAAGCGTTTCTTATGAAACTTCGTTTTTCTAAATTACCAACTGTGGTGAATACTTCACAACCTTCGTGAAGCGCAAGACGGATCGCAGCTTGGCCTACAGCACCAGAGCCCGAATGAATCAGTACTTTATCGCCTTTCTTTAACTTTCCCTTGCGATATAATGCGTAATAACATGTGGTATATGCACACGGAACCGTCGCCGCATCCTCAAGGGTCCATTTGTCCGGAATTTTCCAGGATAGATACTTATCCACTATTTGTCTGTTTGATATGCATCTGAATAAAGGAATATATTAATATTTTAAATTTATTTCTATCGAAGTAGTGGTGTAAAACAGAGTAAACAGAATAAAAAATACAGGAAATCACAATAACGTCAAAATGATGAAAAAATGACTATAAAATCTCATGTTTTCATAATTCAAGAATTTCTCTATCATTCCGGGGTATGTGAAGTTAGCAACCTAACATTAGTTCTCGATAGTTCTGATTAGAGTTCTGGCTTCCTTTTGAAGAATATAAGAGTTCTTTTATATTAATAAAAAGAGTTCCGGCGATTAACAATACTAAAATAACAATTAAAAAATGGGGCCGTAATTTCACACCCAACTTTAAGATCAAATAGTTCTGAGTTTAAATAGTTCTGAGTAGCTCATTCGATGTCTTTTGACGAGTACTAGAGTTCCTGATAGATAAAAAGATATTCTTTTTTCCAAAAAATTAAAAATTCCGAAAAATTGAACATCAAGCTCGAATAGTTCTGAATGGTCTATCTGATTTCTTTCGATAAGTTCTAGAGTTCTAAGTTCCAAATTTCGCTCGCCGGATCTTTAACTAAGTACTGAGCGAAATTTTTTTCAGAGTTCTCAGAAGTTCTGAGGGCAGTTTTAGATAACATTCTAAGAGTTCTAAAAGAAATTAAACGGTCGAAAGCGATCCGACCTACCGTTTAAAACTTATTCCATCTTAAAGATCCGGCAAGCGAAATTTGGCTGTCCTGAGTGAAATTTTTTTTGAGAGTTCTTAGAAATTCTGAGGGCAGTTTTGGATAGCATTCTAAAAGTTCTAAAAGAAATTATAATGGTCGGAAGCGATCCGACCAGTAATTAAAAAATTATTTGACGTCAAACGTCTGTTACGGTAATACTACTAGTCATTATTTTTCAAACAATTCTGTGAATTTAATTTTTTTCTTATATCAGGAACTCTAGAACTCATCGAAAGAAATCAGATAGACCATTCAGAACTATTCGAGCTTGATGTTCAATTTTTCGAAATTTTTAATTTTTTGGAAAAAAATCAGAATATCTTTTTATCTATCAGGAACTCTTATACTCGTCAAAAAACATCGAATGAGCTACTCAGAACTATTTGATCTTGAAGTTGAGTGTGAAGTTAGCACCCCATTTTTTAATTGCTATTTTAGTACTGTTAATCGCCGGAACTCTTTTTATTAATATAAAAGAAATCTTATACTTTTCAAAAGGAAGCTAAAACTCTAATCAGAACTATCAAGAACTAAAGTTGGGTTGCTAACTTCACATACCCATCATTCCGAAGTTATGGCATCATAGTTTTCTATTTTACTCAGGAACATGACACAATAGTAACATACAAACCTATTTTCGTAAAGTCCCATTATTCTCTGTCCAGTATTATCTATACCGGCGTATTCAAAACCTATCATACAGTCTTCTGACCGTCTACATGGTAATAAGTCCTGGGAGTTGATTTTATTGCTTGCTATCATTATATCTTTAAAGTTAAGGGAAGCGTAAATTATATTAACGAAGTTTCCGTGTTGATAATTTAAAACAAGTGGACCTTCCATCCAACGAAACGAAGTCAAGTCACCACGCACCTAAAAATGTTATATTTTTTGTGTAAATATCTATGATTCATAAATAATCTATGAAACAATTTTTTTAGATTTTTAAAATTTTCTTAGGAAAAGCGGTATATATGATAATATATAAATTTTGCTTCTATATGTAATTATACAATATATAAATATACGTAATTATATCATCCTGAAAAAATGTTTTTATACAGATAGAATTAAAATAACTGCTACTTTCATTTAATAGCATTTTCATTTTCGCAAAGTGTGAACATATACAGGATATTTCAAATCACACATCCACCCTTCTTCAAATAAAAGGAAATGGTTTTTAATGAAAATCCTGAAAATTTTTATGACTAAGTTGGATATGTTCTTCCTAATGGTGATATTGGCAACTTTCGGTACTGACCGGAAATTGGCTATACAGACCGGAAGTTACATTTTTTAAATAAAACACAGAATATTTTATTGCATATTCGGATTATGTACCATAAAATAAAAAAGATTTATTACATTTTTTTTAAATGCCTTCAATGACTTTGAAATTATATTAAATCTGTGATGAAAAAATAAACTTTTATTGCGTTTCTAGGTGAGTTTATTCAATATAAATGTTCGAACTAAGTACCGTTCTGTGCGATGCAAGCATCTACTCTGTTTTGGAAGGAATTAGTCGCCTGAAGAATTTCATTACCACCTACGGATCGAATTGCTTCAATTAATCTATAAATCATATTTTCATTTGTAATCGGACTTTCACAGTATACCAAAGTTTTTATTTTTCCCCATAAATAATAATCACAGTAAGATGTGGTGATCGGGGTAAGTAATTTATCGAATTATATTTACTTATCCACTTGTTGGAATTTGCATACGATTAGCAGGCATGGCTTACGTCGCTTTGTAGCAGCCGCGTAAAACACATTTTTATTACACAATCAATATCATTTCAAGATTACTGGAGGTATGTATAACTAATTTCCAGTCAGTACCAAAGTATCACAACTGAATAAAACCATTTTCCTTCATTTTAGAAGGGTTGGATTGGTGATCTGAAACACTTTGTATAATTTCATATAATTATACAGGGTCTGCCAAAAGTTCCGGAACGGCTAATTATTTCAAAAAATAATGATTGTTTAAAACAATGTTTGAAACAAAAGTTGTAGGGCTTAAAAGAAGCTATCAGATATTGATAATTGTTTGACCTTGGAACGACCTTGAAAAACGTTATCAAGGTCGACATAAAAATCTTAAATGGAAACTCCAATTTTTTATTACACCGTCTTTTTCCACCAATTAATTTGAACTTTTATCTGAAACATTTTTTTATTTGCCTAATATTTTTTGTGATATTTAAGGATAACTTGGTAACTTTTTCAATATTTAACTTACGATATCTCGCTAACTGTTTGTCGGGATAAAAAAATGGTACTAGACTTTTCTATTCTACTTGCGCCATGTTCCGATATTCACTGCCAGCACTGAAAATCTATAATATACGTGACACAAACTATGTATTTTCAGTACTGGCAGTGAATTTTGGAACACAACCATAGTTTCAAGAATATATAATTACAACAGCGCCCTGACTTTTGTTAATTTGATGATTTTGAAATTTCGAAAGATCGATAAATTAACAAAAAATAGAGCATTATTGTACCAATATATTCTTGAGATCAAATTACCAAGTTATTCTTAAATATCTCAAAAAATATTAGGCATATAAAAAAATGTTTCAGATAAAAGTTCAAATTAATTGGTGGAAAAAGACGGTGTAATAAAAAATTGGAGTTTCCATTTAAGATTTTTATGTCGACCTTGATAACGTTTTTTCAAGGTCATTTCAAGGTCAAACAATTATCAATATCTGATAGCTTCTTTTAAGCCCTACAACTTTTACTTCAAATATTGTTTTAAACATCATTATTTTTTGAAATAATTAGCCGTTCCGGAACTTTTGGCAGACTCTGTATACATGGCCATATAAATACAAGAAACCGCATATAAATTATATAAAATTATAAGTTTGTTTGATCAGGCATCTCGTTCTATTCGATAGTAATTCTTATATTTTGTCATATTATATTTTATATGTTAGCCATACCATTTGATTGACGTAAGCATGATGCACGAGCTTGGATTTCAGAGGGGTCAATGGAAAATGCCTGTACGATCCCCATATTTTTCCCGGGCGCAAAACATTTACAACGAGATCCATCTGAAGTTGCTCCGCATAGAAGTGATTGTGAAGTGAGAATATCGGTGCATTTTCATCCTGGATGAACACTCCTCTAATTAGCTCACCACCCTGTTCTTTTCTCAAACAGTTAAGCAGACCTAATAAACCACACTCTGCATCCTTTTCTCCAACTAAAATTATCCTCTTATCGTTGGTCAACTCGTTCTCTGCTTTCAGAATCGATTTGAAATGTTCCAGCCAAGAGAATTCGTAATTATTCACATAAATTACTTCCATTTTACTCGGTGGCTGGCCTCTTTTTCTCAAGAGTGTCATATGTTCATTCTTTGTGTACTTCTCAAGCACTACCGCTAGATTGTTGATTTCAGCGTAAGCCACTTCCTCTTTCGTGAGGGGCAGTCCTCGCGTCAATAAAAACCCATCAGCCTTTAATGCCGGCAGAATTTCTTTTAAAGTCTTGCTTTTATCTTTCGTTAACAAATTACATCCTGTGACTAATATCGCACTGTCTTCCGTTAACAAATTTTTCGAGCGTGAAACTGTGACTTCGGAACAAAGGGTAGTGTCATCGAAACGATTAGTTCTGTTTACCAAAGTAATATTGAAATGAATCAGTGGTGAATTCGTCAAAGTGGAAACGAACAGCGGCGAGGCTAATTCTTGTATTATCATTTCGTCACCGTCTTCAAGCAATTCGATTGTGTCTACTTTCGTCGTACAGATATGTTCGAGTACGAGATGTGTCGACATGATTATTCCATCTTCAAAAGAAACCTCAGCTCCGTCACGATGAGCTACGAATATGTGTTTCTCGAGAATAGGATTCTGCGTTGGCTTTTGACGAGTTATAAAAGTGGTTCTCACGCCGCGAATTTCTACACCACCGGATATTACCGTATCTAAATATTTGTACGTGCGCACTGCGAGTTCTAGAATATTAAAATATATTATGTAGATTATACTATATTATATACTATATACTATATAGATATACTATGTAGATATACCATATTTGTTGCTTTTTCTATTGAGAAAATGAGAGTTTTAATTTAAATGTTAATCACGAAGAATTAATTACGAATACATTTGGAAAAATAAGTTCTTGAAGGTACATTGTCGGTTGTCAAAAAGATCGATTGTTTTTACTTATTTCGGAAGATAGAGGCCTTAAAAATGTATTCTTAAAATATTATGTTAAAACACGAATAATTTTGAAAGTTACAGACCGTTATGTGACACAGTGCAGGTAGAGAGGTGGGTAGCGCGTAGCACCCTTCTTTTCAAACTGAATCGAATCAGATGGGTTTAAAAAGGTCTTTAGATGTAAATAGGATAGTATGATGCTATACTATCCTATCTGTATTTGTATATATATTTGTATTTATGTGTGTAAGAGGTCAAAAACGATCGTTGAATTCAGTTAACATGTTGCGTGTTCAGTGCTCCTTCGATTTTTGTTTCGGAAAAACGTGTATACACAGTTAAAAATGTTTCGTACTTTTGTTAAAATTTTGTGTGTGTAGAAAGTTTTGTGTTAAAGTTTTTACACAGTCGTGTGTTAATTTAACATATCGTTGTTGTGCTACTTAGACTTTCTTATGTTAAATTAAGATTAACTGTTTTCAAATGTTAAAATAACAATTTATATGTAAATCCATGAATTCTTGCTCTGACATATTTTATATGTTAAAGTCAACACCTAAAATGTGTTAATTTCCTCATTATAACAGTTATCATGTGTTATATTATATAAGAATTGGATTTTTAACACATAGATTATGTTAATCTAACATTTTCATTTCATCAAATCATAGATCATTACTTTTCCCAAATATTGAAGTAACATTCATTGTATGTCAATTTAACACAAACTGTAATTCCTGACGGCATTCGAATGTTAAATTTTTGTGTTAATTTTTTACATATTATGCGTGTTACTTTTTAACATATTTGCTGTATGTTAAATTAACACATAAATGAGAATGGATGATTTGAGACACATGAAATATGTTAAATTTAACACATTCCTTCTTACAGTGTAGCGCAATAAGAAATGGATAAAAAATTATTAAACAATGATTTTTAAAACACTGATAGTAATGAGTATCACGATTGGATCGCAAGCAAAATTATTTGCCGAATATCGCAATAGCTAACGGTTGAACACTGGCTGAGAGAGCGTCTGCTCAAGCAACCAAAAAAGTTCGAATGGCACAAAAAACCAAGAAGTGGCACTATAAACTTCTTATGAAGAACAGGAAGGTTTGTTATATGACCCTGAAATAGTTAATTAGCATCAAACAATTCTAAGTATTTTAAACTTTTATGGTTCACTGCATTTAAATCTTTAAACGCGTTTTACTCGAAACAACATTTTTTTCATCTGGCGACCACGATATCTCGAAAACGGATAGAAAATTATTGTTCCGAAGAAGGAAGTTATTAAAAGATATTTGGAAGGGAAAACGTCTGGCTAAAATAACTCAGCGAATCTTTCTGACAGAAATAGAGAAACTCGGCGATTAAAGACAGAAAAAGAAAGAGAAATCGGTGTGTGACGTCCCACCGTGCTCGAAGAGTCGCGGAAACATGTTCGTTAAGTATGAACATTTGAACGTATAGTGAGTAATATAAAATTAATTCGCTTTACTCATAAAAAGAATTTAGAATACGCGGAGTCCGCAGGACGTAACAATTTTTTGGAACGATATTTTTTTAACTTCTAATTTTTTTTTCGCTTTATTTTAGTTCATACCATAGCCACATGTGTGAAGATTATGTATCACTTTAGTTTTTTGTTTCCGATACGGAGACGAGTTAGGATGGTCGCCAACAAGAGAAAACTTTTCTGAGGCGACTCGCGACAAGCAATTTTACAGGCGCGTTTTTCAATAAATTTTTCTTTTGAAAATCATAAATGTAGTAAAATGTTAGGAGAACAAGCTTATATAAATTAAATATTAGGGTTTACAGTTTAAGAAAAAAAAATTCCGGAAAAGCCTTCTATTTCTGAGCGCTGCAAAGGCAAATGTACCCTTAAGAAATTACAAGATTGACGTCAAATAAAATTTGCATTTATTTGATTTAATTTGATTACCGCGTTTGCACCGTCTACCTTTGATTAATTTACAAAATGTCGGAAGCAATTCAAATCGGACGTAATACGAATTCGAAAATCAAATTAAGTGTTCCTCTGTATCGCGGAAACCTAAAGCATCAAAAATTTATATTTGTGTTTTTCGACCAACCTACCTTTATTCTCAGTCGTAGTATTTTTTACGTACTGCGCGTGAAGCTTTGGATCAATCACCAATTTTTGTATTCCGGTAATAATACGAAGATTTCTTGTACATGTTTCGAGCATCCCTATTTGCATCATATTATCCAAGAATACTGTCCAATTATCCATCCATGCTATGTGTCCCTGATTCCTTGTAATCGATAAGCTTTTCAAACTGCAAAATAAACCGGAGTATTGATATCCGCGTAATCGGAGTTCTTTGTAGATGTCTTTCGTCTTCATCATTTCTTCTTCCTCGACATTGTTCCTTTGTAAGTAATCAATCGGCGTTCTTTCCTTGTCAGGGTCTGAAGAAACGCGCACACTGCCAGTAACTATAACGTTATCCCCTTCTATTATTTCAAACTCCCCACTATCTGCAGAAACAGATATTTATAAACGAATATATCTGATGTCTGTCATAAATTTCTATTATGAAAAATCCAAAAACGACTTTTGTTCAGCAAGCCTGACATACCTTTTTGTACCGTTAACGTTAACTTCGCAGTTGCCTGACTCGAGAGAAATGTTGTTTCAAGGAATCTAATGTTTTCAAATATGACGGGTATGTCGTTGTACAGTTGCATCTTTATCATTCCAATCAGTTTCCAAATGAGAACAATATATCCTGTAGCTGGTATCAGATTCCTACCGTCTATTACGTGACCATCCATGTATTTATAATCTTCATTTAGTAATGAAATATAGTTTACTATTTGCCCTGAAGTGACTTGTTTCTCCAATGTGTACCAAGATACATGCCAGGTTTCGGAATGCTTCCACCTAATGAACAATATGACGTAAAAGATATGTGGCTACACATTGGGTGCGTTCACGACACTCAACGGTTAAGCAACTGTTGAATAATTCGTCAACGTTATTGGTCTGAATTTAAGGATCTAACAGTAAGGACCAATAGTCACTAATCGTTCACTGAGCGATTTTCTCCGCTTAACGCAATGATTGATTAATCATGAAATCTTACGCGCTCTTTTGCTTTTTATGTTTTTCAAAAATTCTAACAACAACGAAAACTTTTTGACCCATATATAATACACGCAGATCGTAATAGTTTATCGTTTTCAGTTCATTTCCGCGTTTTATATACAGTAAGAGTACTACGCATGTATTTACATATACAGTAATGACTTATATCATGTATGTACATATACAGGATGTCCCATTTTAATGTCCCATCCCAAATAACTCTTCAGTATTGAAGTTTCAAGGAAAATGATCTGAATAAAAGTTGTAGGGATTTAAATGAGCTACCTTATTATGATCTTGACTTTGACCTTGACCTCTATTTTCAAGGTCATTTGAAAGTCAACTTGCGTTTTCTAAATGGGAACCCTTATTTTTTATTACACTGTTTTTCTACTAGTTAATTTGAATAACTTTTGTTCAAAACATTTTTTTATTTGTCTAATATTTTTTGAGATATTTAAGGAAAACTTGATAACCTTTCCAATATTTAACTTACGATATCTCGCTAATTATTTGTCGGAAAAAGAGAGGTACTAGACTTTCTTGTTTTGTTTAGTCTCAAGAATATATTGTTAGAATAGCGCCCTGAGTTTTGTTAATTTGATGATTTTGAAATTTCCAAAAATCAACCTCCACGCAGTACATCCTAGATAATACTAATGCTGGCGGCACCGTAAATTCTAAAGCTCATAACTCAGACGATTCTCAACAAAAATAGATTATCAAGTAGCGTTTTGGAAACATCTCGTTGTCATCTTTAACACTGTGTGATAAAAAATGGGGTATTCTATTTAAAAAAATCACTTTGACTTTGACTTCGCCTTGACCCCTCTACTCGAGGTCAAACGGATGTGATCATTCAATAGAACTTTTAAAACCCTACAACTTTGCAACCTGGTTGCAAACATTTTCCTCAGAAACATTTCGTTTTCGAGATATTTGACCATTTCCAGACTTTTCTAACACCCTGTATGTATTGTATGTAAATTAAAGAACTTTTAGATAGTATAATTTACTCACTTAATTGATGGCGAAATCATCCGTGTACTACGACTAACAGGTAATTCTACAGTCGGATACAAATTGGCCAATTGTGGCTGGAAGCCACAATTATATATTTTGCCAAGTCCTTGCAAAAATATTTTGATATCATTTTCGCTATCATGGTGGGATAATGCGATATTCGTAATACCAAGTAATTGTTTCGAGACACTTTCCAAACTTTCATCCCGTACAATTTCCACGACCACTGCATTTTCCGGAATTAATTTTGCAATCTCTTCAAAAATCACAGGCTTTATTAAATTATCAGCAAAATATTCTGCGTAAGAGGAATCTGTATCGTGGATTAATCCGCGCCATTTATGACTGTGCATTATCCTTTGCGGTATTGTTCGATACAGGTAAGCCAAAATCCTGGTTCTCGCGAAAATAAGACAGCAATTGTGGAGGGAAATATTATTGCAAGTATCCTTATAAAAGATTTCGTTAATCTGCGTAGTTAAATATACAATATTATTTATTTAATACATTCTACGAGGCAAACTGTATTCAAATAAAAATCAAAATACCTCTAATGCTTGAGCAAATGCTCTCATTGATTCCGTTGGCTCAATACTGCTGTTAATGTTTCGGCAGCAGTTGCATGTTGCAACGATTTTCATATCATTTGGACATATGTCCTTTGCATTTGCATTACCAGGCCCGATATCCACCCGAGAATTGTGCATTACTTTTATTTCCTCCAACACCAATCCTATGTAATAAGCAGATAAAATCACTTGTTCGATCGTGAAGTCGCCAGTTACATATCCGCAAGAGAGTTCACCGATGGAATAACCGATAACATAATCTGGTACGATATTTGCCGACATCATGAGGTTGATTAATCCAAGCTAGAGAAAGAAACAAAAGAATTATTTCCTGTAAACCTCAAGTAACATTTGCAGAAAACAATACCATCACCGCTTTAAGATTTATTATGTTAGACATTAAGTAAAGAGTTATGTCAAAAAACGTATCAAGTAAACCGGAACACATTACAAGTTATTTTTACATCTCCTTACAAACTTCATTCATTTTGCGTTGTAGGAACCAAGTCAGTCTAAAAAAGGTGTCATTACCGAATTCGGCAATCAATATTTTGCAATATTTCTTCAATATATCAGTAATGTTTCAACATTGCCGAGTGGATACCGACTATATTAATCACATTTTAGTTTAGTTTAGTTTAGTTTTGCTCGAAATTCGTGAAATACGTGAGGTGTGCTACACTTTCGTGATATTGACATTTATTATTTGTGTTTTTTGAAAAAAATTGTTACCTGCATCACGGTAATGCCGATGACTGAGTTTAATACACTGTCAAACGTAGATTCGCATCTCTTTGTTAAAATATCAATAATGCGGAAACCATGTACCTTCAAAATTGTATCACATTTTTCTACAGTTTTATAGAATGTTGGAAATTGCATTAGTGCTTCTCCTGCTCATATATAAATCCAATGTTATTAATATGCAACAGATGTAATTATGTTGTCCACGTTGTAAATAAATAAGTAAAAGAAATAGTACCCATGCCGAGCCATTGGGATCCAATACCAGGAAACACAAAACACATCGGTTTTCTTAGTTCTGAATAATGTTCTACTTGATTTATTATATTTCCCAATGTTTGAGATTCGACAATTGTGTAACCTCTGTAGGGGTGACCTTTCATGTCGTCAGCATAGAGATCGTGCAATAGCCGGATGTATTCAACGTCTATCGGTTGATTTTCGATCTGAAATTCCATTTAATTATGTAGCATTTCGCGTAGGTATACATTTTTTATCTAATAGAATATGTACTTACTTCGTGCAAGAACGACTGAACTGCTTGTTCAGTACGGCCAGATAGAACTACGAGCCTAGGTAAATCATCCTTTGGCAAACCACCATTGATTTTTCGCTTCGTATTAGGTGCTAATAGAACATGGGCATTAGACCCGCCAAAGCCGAAAGAATTTATACCCACAAAAGAAGGCTCCCATGATGTTGGGGTACTAACCACCCGTATGGTTCCCCTCTTGAATGCTTCAATATCATCCCGTTTTTGTGTGAAATGTATGTTCGGTGGAATTACGCCAGTTTCCATTGCTATCACCACCTTATTGAGAAGAGAACTAATCTGAGAAAATCTTTCTTCTGTTTCATGATTTAAAACAAATCTTGCTTCTTTCATTATCTTGCTCGCTTTAATATCTTTACGTACGGCCTGATAGAATTTGTGACAGCAAAAGGAAATGAAAAGTGTATTGTTTTTGTTTAATAGCATGCAACAATTCAAAGAAACTGTCGTATAAACTGATGCAATATATGATTATAGAGTACATATAATGACTATTTTTTTTTTTACTATTTTTTACGTTGATAATATGAGTCCTTAATGATTATTATTATATCATTATTAATTGCTACTTTATTATATACCTTAAAAATTTGAAGTAAGCCACTAACAGGCTCCGTGTGGCCAAAATTGCTTTTACCAGAACCAATTAATAGAGGATTACGTCTATTTTTGCAGAAAACTTGCTCAATTGCATTGACTTCTATTGGGTCGTTAGCTTTCGTGCCGCTTCCATGAGCTTCAATGTAGGTAACGTAAGACGGTGATACATTGCATTCATTATATAATTGTTGTAGCAAAAGGCTTTGCGTTTCTGAAGATGGGTATGTAATGCCTTCTTCTTTGAATCCATCACAATTCGTTTTTGAATGAATCACATACGCATAAATTCTTTTAGCGTTCTTCGCTTTTTGCAAATATACAACTGCGATTGCTTCACTGCGCATATAACCCTTCGCATGGATGTCGAAAGGTCTGCAGAATCCATCGGGCGATAAAGCTCCTAAAATTATAATGCAGCAAGTAATAGCAATTATTTTTGTAGACAATGCACTTTAGTGTATTTTTTCAAATTTTGATATTATATAATTTATGTGTTATATACAATAAGGGTGATAATATAGAATTAAGATTATAAGATACCAAGTCGCGCGTACTGCAACGATGTTTGTGGATTCAGACAGAGATTTGCACCAGCAACGATCATATCGTCGCACATTCCTGACCGAATATTTCTGTATGCTTGTTCTAAAATATATATAGACGAACTGCAGGCAGCGTCCATCATGTAAGATGGACCTGTTGTACCTAACCAGTGAGAAATCCGATTTGCCAGCATGCATCTTCTACAACCCAAACCTCCCAAACCGGCAACCTTGTAATAGAGATTATAAAATTATAATGTGGACGAATACAGTGTAGACAAAAGATGTTTATACATACTTAAAATAAAATTATTTTATACGTATCTAATGTATGTGAAAGCTATACAGCGCCCATAACAAGGATGAAAAATCTTATGCAGAATAAACATTATCATGTATGCGTCGTAGGGAAATTGAAAGTAATGACGTGGAAGCGTATATAAATCAACGCAAGAATCAAAGGCACGTCGAGAAATAGCTTCGAAATTCCACAGACGGAAAGAGTTGATTTGTTGGAGCATGATGAAGATGAGGATTATCTTCCAGAAGAAGTTATTTGTACTGATGTTGAAGCAGAAATATCAAGTGACTATAAAAGAAAAGCTGTGGAATTCTGGAAGAGCAGTAAAATAAGACCAAGAACGATTGAAGGAGTTAGTCGAAGGTACAAAAAAGTTACATCAATTCGACAATTACGACAATGGGAGGACTATATCAATGCAGGTGGTAGCAGAAATGAAAAATTAAAAGCAATTTCTGAATATACACTACACCGTTTCGCTGAAGCACTTGAAAAAGGAATCATTATTTATGATATTAACCCCTTGACTGTGGATGACGTGTATAGCCGCATGAAAAAGTCGTGCCACCAGTGTGGATGACTTGTATACACGCATCGAAGAAAAAAAATAGTAAAACTATTGTGTTTTGCATACAGGTGGGTATCTATATGTTTTTGGAGTCGCTGAATCCGAATTTGATATCAAAATTTCGAAATTCGGAATGGCGGATCCAACATGGCGAGTCAAAATCATAAAAATAATCGGATTTTTATGAAAGTGGGTATCTATATGTTTTTGAGGTCGCTGAATCCGAATTTCATATCAAAATTTCGAAATTCAAAATGGCGGATCCAACATGGCGAATCAAAATAATAAAAATCATGAAAAACCGATTTTCAAAATTTAAATACAACATTTTTAATTTTAAAATTTTTATATCAAATTTGGATTCAGCGATCCCGAAAACATAAATACCGACTTTCATTAAAATCTGATTATTTTCATAATTTTGACACACCATGGTCGATCCGCCATTTCGAATTTTGAAATTTTGTTATCAGATTCGGATTCAGCGACCCTAAAAACATATAGATACCCACTTTCATAAATATCCGATTATTTTCATAATTTTGACCCACTCTATTGGATCCGCCATTTTGAATTTCGGAATTTTAATATCAAATTTGGATTCAGCGACTCCAAAAACCCTTATTATAAAAATATCATAAAGAAAATTCGACATTTTTTCCAACACAAAAATGGCACGACTAGTACATTTCTGCCTTCACAGTCAAGGGGTTAACATTGCTCGATGGGCTAATGGAGCACAAGAAGAGGAAAATATGCCTGGATTCATAGCATCACTTAGCTGGGTACAAAGATTCAAAAAGAAACATATATTGTGTCTAGGAAAATAACCAAATTTATCACGAAAAAATCCTTGTTATCCAAATCAGAGTTAGAAAATAAATGCGATACATTTATTACAAATGTCAAATATTATATTGATCGATATGGGGTGGAAAATATCTACAATTCATATCAGAGTGGTTTCCAATTAGGACTTCACACCGGTTGTACCTTAGCACAAAAAGGTACAAAGAAAATAGAATCCGTAGTGCAATCTGTATCAACAACCACGCAGAGTTATATCATACAGCCAACTATTTCCACTGATGGTAGATTATTGTCGCCTCTGTTAATTGTATTAAAAGAACCAACAGGGACGTTCAGTCCACGAGTACATGAAAATTTATTCAATGCTCCTAATATTTTTATAATGGCTTCCAAATCAGGTAAAATGACATCAGATTATATGAAAACCTGGTTGAGAGAAATATTTTTTTCCGAATGTCGGGCCACAATCTGTATTATTATTAGATTCATGGACTGGACATTGTCCCAATGTATTTCAGGAAACTAGATCGGATTTTGCATCAGATATTGTTTTCCCAACCATTTCGGCCGGTAAAACGGCAAAAATACAACCATTAGATGTATATGGCTTTCGATTATGGAAAAATTGTATTAAACACCTTTCTGATATTGTAATGCTATTAAACCTTGCAATTGATCTTCATGTTAAAAACAATATTTTAAAACAGTCATTAACGCACCATCAATTCTCGTCACCCAGGTTTCACAATTTATTTAAATATGCGTGGTTTAAAAGTGGATATTTACAGAGTAGGCCAGGCGAATTCGAAACACCGGTTGAGTTTTGTTTCCAAAATTATTCTAAAATAAAATGTGATATTTGAGGCGAAACTGCCATAATTATTTGCTCTTGGTGCAAAAAATCACTTTGTATCACACATTTTTTCCATGATCACCACCTTTGCAACGAATATGTGCCATAAATGTAACATTTATTTTTCGTTTATATGCAAATACTGTATTGATTTGTTTATTACTATTGTGAAATATATATAATAACGTGTTATTCTTCTATAATTTATTGTATTGTTCCTCTCTATCCTATAAATTATTACTCCATAATTTTTGTTAAGCCTTTCGTTATGTTTCATTCAGCAATTAATAAAATATATTGTATTGTCACGCTACACGCTTGCAGAGGTAATATGACGTCGGCCTAATTAGAAAACCTATTAATTCCACTTTTTGACAAAATTGAGACTCATTTTATTCGATCAAAGTCGACGAGATCGAACAAAATCGAACAAAATGAGTATCTTAATTTTGTCAAAAATTGAAGTTAGGAGGTTTTCTAATTAGGCTGATGATAATGTGTTTCATTATTTCACGTGCATTGCATGAAATAATTTTTTAATCATTTTAATTATCCTTAGTCGACATACCTTTCAGATTGTAGTGAACATAAATTTTACACATTAAATGAAAAAAATATATATTTGAAGCTTTTGTACAAATAGCGATGCTGCACACACATTTGCTACTGTTATATATGCAAATTATTCTATTGTTCACGTTTCCATCAAGCATTTTTATTTCGTGTAATATTGTATATCATAACATTTCGATTAATTGTAGATTGTATAAGAAAATATGCACAAGCAGTCGTGAAGCATAATGCAATTGTAGAGAAATATCACAGCGTATCTACCTACAGTATCTATCTACTCGGGCAGAGCGGTACATATACCATGAAGTTTTCTCATTGCGTTTTATTCAAAATATTAAATACCATTTTCTAATATTATATATGGATGGATTTGATATTTAATGCTCTACAATTTTTGTCCTTACAAAAACTTAAAAATTTTCCCAGAGTAACGAGTGGGGGGGGGAGTAGTTCAATATTTGAAATTTTAAAAAACTGAACACATGGTTGCAAAGAGCATAAAATATTGCAAAACTTTTGTCTGAAACTTTTTTTCATATGACTCATAATTTAGAAAATATTTGATAGAAATGATAACGGCTATTTTTTCAAGGGGTGGTTTCGCCCCCTAAACATGCTCCGAAACCGATATAAAAAATATATATATCCCTTAGTTTTTGATGCTCTACATCATATCCGAAGCCCATTCAAATCGGTGAGGGACAGTTGTGACACTCTCCTTGTCAGTGCGTAACAATGTGAAATTTGCTTTATTAGAGGATTCTGCTGTAGTTGATAAGTGCAATTTTTAGTATTTGATACTCAATGTTATGTGCACTTTGCAAAGAATTAACAAATGAAATCGCTCTCGGTATGTCTTAGTCCCTTCTGCTCGGACACGGCGGTACAAGTTTGGTAGATATTGTCGTATATTGCATACATTTTTTTATAGTCTGGTATAAATATTTTTCAACAAAAAATATCAGTAGCTTTAGTAGTAAATACAGGATATCCTACTTTAAAACCCCCAGGCAAATATCTCGAAAAATATGGAAGATACGGAAAAATATTTCAGACAGAAGTTGCATGGTTTTAAAGGAGATATAAAAGAACTATATCAGTTTGTTTACAGATAACGCTACTTTCGAAATATTCACTGATCGTTACTTTTCTTAAATGGAAATTCCAATTTTTTATTATATCATCTTTTTCTATCAATTCATTTCAACAACTTTTGTCTAAAACATTTTTTGGTAATTATTTACATTAACGGCACCTCACGGATCAGCTTGACCTTGACATATGTCATAGAGGATACATTCTTGAGTAACTTTTTCTAATAAATTAATCGACTCTCGTGCTTTATTAAAAAATTATTAACCAAAAAAGTAAGGAAATTTGATGAAATTTGAATGATTTTACCTATGGAGACTATCTCCCAATTTCAAAAATTTTAGTTAGTTGTTATATAGATCATCACTCTAAGTAATGTTGGAAGGTTTTAACTGGCGGTCACCGTTTATTAAAAACTTATTAAAAAAAATTTTGGTATATGCGTAAGTTGCAAGTGCATTTAGCACGGCGCGCTATGCGCACCCCGCTCCCCACTCCCCCCAACCCACTCCCAACCCACCATCACCCCCATCCTATTCCCCCACTTACTCTTTCACTACCAATACAAGCAGTATGTTTACGAAAGTGATTGGTCACGTTCAGCGGGAAAAACTGCTCTGCTACCACTCAGTAGCAAATGTTCATGATTGGAGAATTCTTTTAAATGTCGGCAGGTCCGAACAAACGTACCAATCAGAGATGTTTGCTAAGGAAAAATAGCAAAGCAGTTTTTTCCACTAAACGCGACCATTGAAAAGAAACACTGGGAATGGAGTCAGGCGAAGCAGGTGAGGTGAGGGTGAAGCGCCGTGCTAACACACTTGCAACTTACGCAGATACCAAACTTTTTTGGTTAATAACTTTTTAATAAAGCACTAGCGCCGATTAATTTATCAGAAAAAGTTATTCAAGAATGTATTCTCTATAACATATGTCAAGGTCAAGCTGATCCGTGAGGTGTCCGTTAATGTAAATAATTATCCATTATTTTATTTGCCTAATATTTTTTTAGATATTTAAGGAAAACTTGGTAACTTTTTCAATATTTAACTTGCGATATTTCGTTAACTTATTGTCGAGAGAGAAAATGGCACTAGACTTTTTTACTCTATTTAGTCTCAAGAATATATTGTTACAATAGCATGTTGAGCATTGTTAATTTGATGATTTTGAAATTTCCAAAAGTCGATAAATTAACAAAAGTTAGAGCACTGTAATATTGTAGTTAGAGCATTGTAATAATATATTCTTGAGATTAAATAGAATAAAAAAGTCTAGTACTATTTCTTCTTCCGACAAATAGCTAGCGAGATATCGTAAGTTAAATATTGAAAAAGTTACCAAGTTTTTCTTAAATATCTCAAAAGATATTAAGTAAATAAAAAATATTTCAGACAAAAATTATTCAAATTAATTGGTAGAAAAAGATAGTGTAATAAGAAATTAGGGTTTCTATTGAAGAAAAGTAATGATCAGTGAATATCACGAAAATGACGCCATTTGTAAACAAATTAATATAGTTATTTTATGTCCCCTTGAAACCATACAACTTTTGTCTGAAACATTTTTTCATATCTTCCATATTTTTCGAGATATTTGCCTGGCGGATTTAAAACAGGACATCCTGTATATAATTGGTATATTTTTTAATATTGTAAATGTATGTACGCGTTAAAGATAAAATGTTTTCCACTCAACTTTTTAACTTACTGCTACTTTATGTACAAATAATATATTATATAAAGTTAAGAGAAATTTGTTCTATTATGAATTTCTACACACATATATTTGTAAATTATAAGTTTACAATTAAATATCTAGGAAACAATATAATGATTATTGGAATTTCTATTATGCACCGTTAATTTAATTAACTTTTATATCTCATGTATATGTTATAGAATTACCTTTTATTTTATAACCCTAAAATGCTAAAACCTTTAGATGTTCGTCGATAAATTGGTTCATTAAAAAAATCGATTAATTAAACAGCCAATCATGAATCATGAATATTATTTCACATACCATGTGTCTCAAAAGTAACGGACCACTCTAATAACTCTTTAATATTGAAGTTTCAAGGAAAATAATCTAAATAAAAGTTGTAAGGATTTAAGTGAGCTACCTTACGGTGATCTTAACTTTGAGCTTGACCTCTATTTTCAAAGTCATTTGAAGATCAACTTGTGTTTTTTAAATAAGAATCTCCATTTTTTATTACACTACTTTTTTCTACGGATTAATTCGAACAGCGTTTGTTTAAAACATTTTTTTATTTGCCTAATTTTTTTGAGATATTTGAGGAAGACTTGATAACCTTTTCAATATTGAACTTATGATATCTTGCAAACTATTTGTCAGAAGAAAAAGTGGTACTAGACTTCCTTGCTTTATTTAGTCTCAAGAATATATTGTTACAATAGTGCCCTAATTTTTGTTAATTTGATAACTTTGAAATTTCCAAAAGTCAATAAGTTAACAAAAGTCAGCTATTGTCAAAATATATTCTTGAGAGTAAATAGAGTAAAAAAGTCTAGTACCACTTTTTCTTCCGACAAATAGCGAGATATCGTAAGTTCAATATTGACAAAGTCTTCCTCAAATATCTAAAAAAATATTAAACAAATAAAAAAATGTTTTTAGACAAAAGTTGTTTAAATTAATTGGTAGAAAAAAAATAGTAGGTAGTTTAAATTAATTGGTAGAAAAAAATATAATAAAAAATAGAGGTTCTCATTTAAAAAACGCAAGTTGACCCTCAAATAACCTTGAAAATAGAGGTTGAGGTCAAAGTCAAGGTCATCATACGGTAGCTTACTTAAATCCCTACACCTTTTATTCAGATCATTTTCCTTGAAACTTCAATACTGAAGAGTTATTAGGGTGGTCCGTTACTTTTGGGACACGTGGTATCATTTCTTCGTATTATAAGAAATAAACACACACACCTACGTCTTTAACTCTTTCGCTTCGAGCGCCGGATATATCCAGCATCCATATATGATGTGTACAAGTGCCATTTATAGTCGATGATAAATTCTTCGTTATCAGCAGAACATTTTTTGTTGATTTTATTGACATATTGGATTAATCACATATTAAAACTACTCTTTGTTGTTATGACATCAAAACGTATTACGTAATATACTTCAGATATCAAAACGATCGTTTACTCTTTCATTCCAAAAAATCTATCGAATACATTTGACAGTGAAACGATATTTAATATACGTTTTTTAGAGATTTAATATATTAATTAATTATATATTAACTAATTTGCGTTACATTATTAATTATATTAAACATTTAATCGTAAAGTCTTGTAAATATATAAATACCTAAAAATATGTAAATTGTAATTGGTCTAATGTTTTTAGAATAACTAATATAATTTTATATAAGTCTTTTCATATTAAAAATGTAAACTATACTTGTTATATTAGAGCAACGATTATTTTATTAAGCACAATTGTTATTTAAGACTTAGAAAAACGTATATACAAAAATCACGCACACTGTGCACATTTCTGGCGCGTGCTTCCGTTCAGTGACGACATTTCGGCAGACTGGATTGACGAAGCGAAAGGGTTAATGCTTTAGATATCATGCTTTAAGTATCATGATATAAATCGTGTGTATTATACCTGCGGTTTTTCATAAACGTGTACCCATTCCGTCTCGGAGAAACATGTTCCAACGATAACTCCAGTTTTTGTACCACGTAAATCTTTAGGATTTACTCCTGCGTCGACGATAGCCTCATAAGTATGTTCCAAGAGGCACCTACTCATAGGATCCAAGAGGTGAGCTTCGTCGAAAGGGATGTCAAAATATTCTGCATCGAATTTCTCGATATTATTGATCTTTCCTATGCGTTTTGGTATATCTGGATGCTCTGTATAACACATAACACATGTATAACACATGACGAGCAAAATAATATGTTAATTTCTTTAAGGCGCAATACACCGAATTTCTTTCGATAATAAGATGTGGAATGTCACCATGTGGCCATCGACGACAATCATCCGAACCAAGATCCACTTTATTAGATAAATTCTCTTCCAGATGTTTGATGTTATCGGATTCGGGAAATCTACCGGCCATTCCGGAAATAACAATTTCGTCAAATTCAACGTCGGTGAATGTTGCTTTCCCGGTACGATTCATTCTTTCACGTAAAGTTTGTTTAACGTTATACATTTTTCACAATTTTATATTTATGATGTTAATTTTTTAAGTTACTTTTTACTTTTACAATGTTTTAAAATATTTGAGAAGTCACTAATAATAGAAACTATTAATAGTAGAAATCACTAATAGCAGAAATAAAACTGATAGTTCTTCTGCAAAGTGCCGTACATTAGTCGTCAAATACGTATGCTGCTCCAATATATGTATGAGAAGTATCACGTCATCATGAATAAAGATCTATTATAAATTCTATTGTATGTTAAACATGGAGAAATCAATACATCTATTAAGCTGGCACAGCCATTTCAGCACAACCGCATGGAACTAGCACAGAAATTTAATGCTTTCTTTTTGCTACTTTGTTGCTCTATTCCCGATTTTGTTGCTCCAGCCATTTCGAAGAAAACAGTGGCTGTGCTAGCTTAACATTAAAGTTAGCACAGCCATTCGAAAAATAAAATTAAAAACGATAAACGAATACATATTTTTAAACTATGATTTTGTTGCTAATTTGTTGCTTTATTCCTGATTTTGATGCGCCAGACGTTTCGCCAAAAATCGGGGTTACTCTTATTATAATTGACGAAATGTCAATGATAGCTAATTTGACTTTTATGTACATACATCTTTAATATAGTTTTTGGTGCAGCCGCGCCAAGATTATTTGTATTAAATATTTTTTATTGCATTGTTATAATAATTAATTTGTTATAATAACAAGTAAAATAACCATATAACTGAGTGTTTCTATAATAAATAATGATAAATTTTACTTGTAAAAATTTATGCCATGGACATTTTTTGTAGCTAGGTTCTTCGTGAATAACAATAACCTTTAAAAAGATATTTTTTTTAATATTGGACACTATTAATAAACTGTTAAATTTTTATAATACTATATAATTTTTACTTTTAAAAGCTTATGTACATATATATCTTGAAAGAAAAATAATTTGATAAGTTTTATTTGTAAAAACTTATGTTATGTACATAATACATATCTTAAAAATGGAATTCTAAAAATATTAAGTATACAATAATCATATATATATGTCAGGTTTTTCAATTGGCTCTACTGTTCTAATATATCACTTCTTTTGTACAGTAGAATAGTGTTGCAGAGTTTTATTATAGTTATAAGTTTTACTTGTAAAAACTTATGTTATGTATACATATATGCCTTAAAAAAATAATTTGAGTTTAAAATTTCTAAAAATAACACAATACGTGTTGCGCTTGTACTTGGCGCCTTTTTTTTACCTTTTTGTTTAAAAAGGTAAATTTTATATAAATTTTACTTGTACAAATTGTATATATGTTATGTACATAATATACACATGTATATATATTAATATGACTTTCTTGAAAATGTCGTATCACGGAGATGCATTAGAAATTCACTAGAAAAGGTTAAAGGTGTAACATTGAAAAACAGTTATTAATTCTTTGTCTATATGATTTTGCATAGCCGATCGTGCAGTCAAATGTAAATGTATCTTCTGCCTCGACTGCTTTCGTCTATTTTCTGCAACTCAGTGCACAAAGTATAATTTCTGCGACATTTCTACGTGATGTAACAAATATGATATAAAAGAAAAACAGCCAACTTTTTATTCAACTTACACCTTCCCTTTTCTTTTACAACATAAAAACAACAAATTCCGACTATAAACATTATCCTTTTGACTGTTTGAGCTGCATAATAATAATGAATTATAAGATTAGTACTTGTTATTAGGTGCATGAATTAATTCGGTCCGTTTTTTCTTCCAAAAAAGACTTTAGTATGAAAAAACATGAAAAAGATGAAAGATAATACCCGCTACACATATTTCTGATGATATTTATATAAATATTTATATAAATATCTTATTAGTTTTAATGTGAAAGAAATTTTCAGAGGAAAATTTACATCTTTTCTTCTTACGTTGATTGAAAATAAATTCTTTTCACGCACAAGCAGTTCCTTTAGATGATTGTCGTCTATCAGCCGTTCTACTGTCTGCGAATGCCTTTTTTGCGACATGTGAATGGAATCATTAATCGCCCATGCATCCTACGTTCATTCACGCAATCGTGAAGGACGCGTTAATTATTTGCAAGCTTGCTGCGCATGTGTGCAAGTGATCGCGTGAAGTCAGTTTCTTACATGCTCTTGTTTGCAGGTTCTACCGAATGGAAATTTGGTGTTCCCTCCTTTCCGCGCTGAGAATTACCGTCAGGAAGTTCACGCTCAGGTCTACAGCTGCTTGGCACGTTCCCCTGCAGGTTCGGTATACAGCCGTGATGTCAACGTAAGAGCCGGTAAGTGTCGAACGTAGAATTCGCCATTTGCTGTTTAGCCATCTGTACTATTTGATCAAGAATCGGTAAACTTAATTCTAACTTTAGTAAATATTTTTTGATGATACGAGGGCAGTCTGAAAAGTTCTCGGCTTGACACATAGATGGCATTAGAAACTGTCAAACTATAATTGTATTGGAAAGTGGCATCCCTGATATAAATGTAAAATTTTATTTTGATCTGTCAAGTCATTCGAGTAGTAGCACCAGTTTAATATTGACGTGTCATTGTCTTTTTTAAAATGGAAAAAATTGAATATCGTGCAGTGATTAAATTCTTTGTTTTGGATGGTTTAACACCAACAGAAATTCATCCGAAATTGTTAAAAGTGTATAAGGATGCATCACCTTCACTTTCCACTGTGAAAAAATGGGCTGCTCTATTCAAATCTGGTCGTACAAGCCTCGAAGATGATTTATGCGAAGGTTGTCCAAAAACTGCTACAACACCACAAAACATTCAACAAGTCTATGATATGGTGTTAGATGATCGGCGAGTGAAAATGCGTGAAATAGCTGAGGCCATAGACATCTCAAAAGAACGAATCGGAAATATTTTGCATAAAGAATTATATATGAAAAAGCTTTATGCAAGATGGGTGCTGCATTTGCTAACAATTGACCAGAAACGCATTCGAATGCGTATTTCTCAAGCGTGTTTAGATCGTTTTAAGCAAAATAAAATGGATTTCAAGCGTTGTTTCATAACTGTTGATGAAACTTGGATCCATCACTATACACCAGAGCGAAAAGAACAGTCGAAACAATAGATTGAAGCCGGTGGACGTGCACCAAAGAAGGTAAAGACGGTTCCATCAGCAGGAAAGGTTATGGCAACAGTTTTTTGGGATTACAAAGGTGTTTTGTTGACCGATTATCTTCAGAAAGATAAAACGATTAATTCTGAATATTAATGTAACCTTTTGGATCTATTGGTTGCAAAAATTCGTGAGAAAAAACCTGCTTTAAAGAAGAAAAGAATCGTTTTCCATCAAGACAATGCAAGTGTTCACACAAGTGTTTTGACAATGGCAAAATTCAACGAATTAAAGTACGAATTGCTTGAACATCCAGCATATTCACCAGATTTGGCTCCCTCTGACTATTATCTGTTTCCAAACCTGAAAAAATTCCTAGCTGGAAAGTGTTTTACATCAAATGACGAAGCTATTGCAGCCGTGGATGGATGTTTTGCAGACCTTCCGGAATCACACTTTAATAATGGTATTGAATTATTGGAAAAAGTTGTAATAAATGTATTGAAGTTTCAGGAGATTATATTGAAAAATAAAACATATCTCACGGCAAAAAAAATTTTCTTTCATTGTTAGGCCGAAAACTTTTCAAACTGCCTACGTACATAGGATTAACGTTGGAAGAAATGAAAATTATGCGCTACCCACAAATAGATATTGAATTTACTTAATTTACTTAATTTACTTAAGTTAATACAAATACGAAAAATATATCTCCAGAAATAATACCATATATGAATTTTGTCTATGTATAGCCATATACAGAGTGTCCCAAAACAATAATACTAAAACTTGGAGGTATAGAACGAATTAAGGCGAACAAAAAAGTCCCATACTGTTTTTGCGATATTCGCAATAATTATCGAGTTATTAATTACAAAAATCTAAGAAGTAAGTGCGCACTGAGATGGGTGATTGGAGAAACGTTGCAGCCCTTTGAGCAAGAGCGCGGGCCAGTCGACTTAGCAGCTTGCCGACGTACGATGAGGAACAAGATAAAAGGATTGTGAGAAAACTTTGTAATTGGAATATGAAATTTCTATCCTTGCACCATGTAATAAACTATTGAATAAAAAGCCTCCCGACAAAATCTTGTTTGAATTACGAAAACGAATCACTCACCGATCTTTCTTATTTTATTCACAGGAATTGCACCAAAGTGAGATACGTATACAGAGTGTCCAATTTTAAAGTTTACAATGCTTTATTTCGCAAACCGATGATTTTAGAACTCTCCATTTTTTATTGAATATTCTTGTAGCCTTTGTCGAGACGTTTTCAAAACACTACCTATTTTTATGTTTTACATAAGCCATTTCCAAGATATGAAGTTTCAAAGTTGACATATCGCCGGCATTCTCATTACCCGATGTACACCGCAGGGAGGTTGCTCGGTCGGATTTGTATATCATAGTATTTTCCTTCAGGAATCATCTCAATGCCACTTTCCCTTATCGATGGATAGGTCGGGATGGTCCAGTTTGGTGGCCATCAAGATCACCCGACCTTACTCCTCCGGATTTTTATCTATGGCGATTTTTGAAAGACACAGTGTTGCGTCAACCGCCAACGACGTGGCAGGATATGATGGATCGCATCAGAAATGCGTGCCGAGCGATTCTAGCAAACGTTTTTCTGAAACTCGTCGAAAGTTTCGAAAAGTGAGTTTGAATGTGCTGAACATCTCTGATGAATGAGCCCCATACACACACACACACACGCACGCATGCACATACGCACGCAAACAAACCGGCCCTTTTTAGGGCCACTGTGATGTATAAATCCGACTGAGTAACCTTTCTGCGGTGTATATCGGGTAATGCGAATGCCGGCGGTATGTCAACTTTGAAACTTCATATCTTGGAAATGGTTTACGTAAAAGACAAAGGTATGTAGTATTTTGAAAACGCTTCGATAAAGGCTACAAGAATGTGCAATAAAAAATAGGGGATC